AAAATGCAAATATTTTTGGAAGTTCATCTATTGATAGAGAGGATGGGACTTTTTTTTTTAAATCAGTTAATGCATGGGGAATTCCCTGGCAGTCTAGTGGTTAGAACTCTGAGCTTTCACTGCCAAGGCGAGAGTTCAATCCCTGGTCGGGGAACTAAGATCCCATAAGCCATGTGACATGGCCAAAAATGAGTTAGTGAATATTTCATACTGCAAGACAAATTAGATGCAACAATCAGAAACCCTGGGAATGGAAAAAGTTTTGTTACAACATCATTCCATTCTTTAAATTCTTCCACATTATCAGTTGACAGTTTAATCAGATTCTCCTTTAAATTTGTCTAAAGCAAACATTAGAGTCATTCACTTCCTCAGTTTCTGGGAAATGTGCCATAAAGATTTGACTAAGATTCCTCATATGACTATTAATTGTACCCCAGGCACTTTCTGTGTGGCACTTTGGTTAACCCAAGATACTCAGAATATGTTAGGTCATTTAAAACACTATTCATTTTAATATATCTTCCAGTTTTATATTTTTTTACTTTTTTTTATATTGGAGCAATTTGATTAACAATGTTGCATTAGCTTCAAGTGTACAGTAAGTGATTCAGTTATACATGTATCTATTCTTTTTTCAAATTCTTTTCCCATTTAGGTTATTACAGAATAGTGAGCAGAGTTCCTTGTGTGGTACAGTATGTCCTTGTTGGTTATCTATTTTAAATATAGTAGTGTATATATGTCATCCCAAACTCCCAATTTATCCCTCCCCCTCCCAGTGCTGTATTTTTTATAAAGTGCTTTTATCTTATCACAACATTTAGCTATATTTTCATCAAAACTTTGAACCTTCAAGTTTGATTCATTTATTTCTGGAAATGTCTGCCATGTAACATAATTGGAAATTCCAGTCTTTTATTGTCAACAAAAGCCTGCAAATAAGACTTGTTTCAGAAAGAATCTGAACCTTATTTTTCATTTCATATAAGCATGTTTTTAGAATGCATTCTGCTGACACCCACCTAATTTTTTATTCTTAATTCTAAAAAAGGCAGACGTATTCATAGATAGATGGATGGGTATGTAGGTAGACTAGATAGATTGACGGACAGACAGACAGAAGCATGGATGAAATCGAGTACTGCTACCTTTTTGATGGCCCTGATAGCAGGGGGCCATCCCACATCCCTGACAGCAGAGAATGTGGTCATTCTCTGAAGGAAGAGGATGCTCAGCTCCTGCTGCCCCACTGTACAATCAAAGGACAAAGCTCTCCACTTCTAACGCCCTAGCAAAATAAATATATAAGACAGGGAAGGTCCAAAGCCCTCCCTTGGGTTTATAACACCATGATTAAAAGGAGCTTTGAAAACACCAGTATTTATTGTCCCTCTGTTTGATGCCCCAGGGGTCTTCACACTATAGACTTCAAGAAAGGGCAAGTTTGCCTTTATTTTGTCACATGGGATAAGAGTGAGAAACTGACCATGCCTCAACTACTGTGCTTTCTCCGGAAGATGATGTAAAGAGAGAAAATACGGATTCCCTTGAGGCCATCCAGGCCTGTGTTTGTCTTAGAAGTCTTTGCAAGGGCTATGTGTGGGGTCTGAAGACTTCTGCTTAAGACTACCTTGGCTTTTACAATGATTCAAGAAGTCTTGCCTCTGGCTTTATTTTCTTTTGTGAAACCTTTCATGTCATATCTTTGTCAAATGCATGACACCACACTGTGTGAAAATAATATAATGTATTTAACCTGGTCCCCCCTGATGGTCTTTTAAGTTTTTTTCAATATTTTTTTGTGATTACAAGTAATGTTGCAATGAGTAACTCTATGCATACTTCTTGTAGCACAGGTAGGAGAAATTCTGTAGGGTAAATCCTGGATCTGGGATTTGCTGGGTCAAAGGGTATGGCTAGTTTCCATTTTGATAGGTATTGCCCTTCCTAAAACTGCACCTATTGGAGAGTTACCTGGCCATCCAGAGGTTAGGACTCAGGCTTTCACTGCCACGGCCCCGGGTGGTCAGGGTATTAAAATCTCGTGGCCAAAAAAAGTATAAGCCAACATTGAAAAACAAAGAAACAAAAACTGCACCTGTTTATATTCCCACCACAGTGAATAGGATTGCCTGTTGCCCCTCACTCGGCCCAACACCACATGTTAGCAAACGTTTCATCTTTGCCAATAGGAGGGATGAACAGTTATATCCCAAAGTAATTCTATTTTTCATTTGTCTCACTATGGCTAAGGTCATCATCTTTTCACGTGTTTATATCCCACTGTAATTCCTTTTCTGGGGAATGTTTGCTCACACTTTTTGCTCATTTTTCTGTGGGATTAGTCTTTTTCTTAAATTATATTAACACTACTGAGGAAACTAGCTCTTTTTCTGTCAGAAGTATTGCACATATTTCCCCCCAGTGTATCATTTAAATTCTGACTTCAGCTCTGAGTTCTTGTGGGTGTTGTCCAGAAATCTCTAAAGTTTCATGTAGTCAAATTTATCAATCTATTTACGACTTTTGAATTTTATGTCACACTTAGAAAAGTTTACTCTTTTTAATTCTTCCAAGCTTTTTTCCTCTCTCCATATTCTTAGTTTATTTTCTCATTATTTTTAAATCCTTGATTCATCTTGAATTTGTCTGTTATAGGAGTGAAATAGGAGTCTGCCTCTGTGACAACCAATGGCAGAATCTGAAATATATTTCTTCTGGTTCCTCACACAGAGCTCCTAAAACCCTTGGGATTTCCCTAGTGATACAAGTGTCTTGTCCTTCCCAAGAAGACCCCTTTGGGTTTATGCTAATGAAGTGACTTAGAGTGACTGAGGGTAGGGTCCCTAGATGGGGTCAGGCCTACCTGAAAGACCAAGGGAATAGAGGGATGGACTTTCAGCCCCACCAGTGGGCCTCTGGGAAAGGGTTGGGGGGAGCTGCAGAGTAAGCTTTGTAAAAATTCTTGAACAAAGATTTAATAAGCATTAGCATTGACGAACACACCCCAGTTTGGTAGTAATGGAAGCCTCTGCATTCAGGACCCTCTGGCCTTACCTTATGTACCTCTTTGGTTATTCTTCTGTATTTTTTGTAATAATCCTTATACTAAACTAGTAATGTAAGTAAATGCTTCTCTGAGTTCTGTGGGCCATGCTAACAAATTAATCAAATCCAAGGAGGAGTACACAGCAACTTCCAGTTTATAGCTGGGCAATCAGAAGCACGGGCAAGCTGGACTGCTTCATCTGAAAAGAAGCCAGTCTTGTGAGGCTGAGCCCTTAGTCTGTGGGGTCTGATGCTATCTCCAGGTAGATAGTGTGAGATTTGAGTTAAATTTGTAGGACAGCCTGTCAGTGTTCACGGAGCACTGGAGAACTGTTTACTGGTCTTGGGGGAAAAACAGATCCATCAGATCACCTCATGGTCCTAACACCATTTATGAAATTATCCTTCTCCACTGGCAGAAAATCCACTTTTAGCACAGGCGTTGTCTTTTGAGTCTGTCTACTGACCTCTCCTACTTATACCTAGGACTGAGGTATCTTCAGTTCTGCTGGCCCCTATTATTTCCTTTATTTCTCAGAATTTTCTGGCTCTTTTTGCATACTTAATTCTCATAAGGATTTTGGAATTGGCTTCCTAATTCTCTACAAAATAAAGTTGATATTTTCTTTGGAATCACTTTAAATAAATAACTAAATAGGGAGAACAGACAGCTTTGTAATAATAAGTCCCCCTGTCCAAGAACTTAGGGTTCTTTCCACTCATTCAGTCCTTCTGCAGCACCATTTTGAAATGTCATGGAACAGCTCCTGGTTTGCCTGGGAGCAGCTATAGCTAGAGCATGCCTCATTGTTCAGTGGGCGCAGGTCACACTGCTCCCCAGGCTGGGAGGAACTTTGGGGAGGCCTGGTTGGGCAGTTTCACAGCTGAGGGAATGACAACTGGCCACTTGACCCATCTTCTCTGAGCTTGTCCCAGCAGCTGTCCCTTCTCTGGACTTGGGACATTCGTGACTTGATTAAACCTCACCTCTGCAGAAGCATCTGGGGATAAACAAACAACAGTTCTCTGGGTCCTGGGTTGGGCATTGTCTCCTTTAATATCACCCAAGACCTGTCACAGGGAAGCCAGGGGACCCATTGGCTTGGGCCACATAGTCATGAAAGGACTCAAATCAGCATTTCTCACCCCATCATCAACTGAGGTGAATCATGGAAGCATACTGAGAAACTAAAAGAAGATATTCACCAGAAAACTTTGAGTCGCATTATTAGACCTCATGCCAACAAAACACTATGAATGTCACAGAAACCAGGGTACTGACTTGTGAATTGCATGCCTGCTTTTGCCATGTATAAAGAAATGCTAAAGAGATTAAGGCCATATATTCTGAGTGACACTTAGCTATCACTCAAACCATAATTGGTTTAATGTTCTGTGTTTTATCAAAAACTTTATCACCAAAAGTTACATCACTTTACCACCAAAATTCTGCATTTTAGCATAGAAGTACTTCAAATCTTGTATTTTTTGTATACAGAGAGGTATGCACGCATGCATGCATTCTCAGTTACTCACTCGTGTCTGACCCTTTGCAACCCCATGGACTGTAGCCCACTGGGCTCCTCTGCTCATGGGATTTTTCAGGCAAGAATACTGGAGTGGGCTGCCATCTTCCTCCCCACGGTACCTTCCCCACCCAGGGATTGAACCCATGTCTCCTGTGTTACAGGTGGTACCCTGTATTGGAGGCAGATTCTTTACTTACTGAGCCACAGGTACTGTCTTGTATTTTGTGATAGAATGAAGAGTAAACATATCATTTCTGCAGTGCTGTTTTGGTATAACTTCTTTGTTTTGTGTGTCAGAGGCCTCCAGAATGAAAAGTTTTGCAGGGCTCTCTTGAAGACAGAGAGGCCTGTCAGTATTAGCATCCTGCCTTTTGACCCTGGGCTTAAGGGAATCAGGGTTTAAGTCTTGTCTCAACTCACATAACAATTTCCTTCCGTGTCTGATCCAGCATCATGTACTGTGTCCACTCCTGTTGAGTCTCGTATGTCTTAGACTGATCCACGATCTTTTGGAACATTGTCCTTTTCCTACAAAAAACACCAGTTTGTTAAAGGAGCACATATTAGAGTAAGGCAACCCCTGGCCTTCTAATGTTGGGTGTTTCAGAGGCTAATTACAGCAATGTAATTTTTAAAAAGTAAGGTGAGAAGAACTAATGCCTGGGAGTGAAGACCTAGGTTCTAACTCAGACTCTACCATGGGTTTATTATCTGATCTTAACTAATCTTCCCCCAATCTCAGTTTCCCCATCTGTATAACAGGGTAAGACTATCAAACTCAGAGCTGTAGTGAGAATGGATGTATCTATAGCGCAAGTGTGGTACCTGGCACAGAATACTCACTAAATCAATTAGAACTGTGGTGTTCATTATTTTTATAATCATCAGTATTCTTTTTTGTTTGTCCGTGCCTTCCAGCTTGCAGGATCTTATTTCCCCTACTAGGGACAGAACCTGGGCCAATGGCAGTAAAATCGCCAAGTCTTAACCACTGGAAACTTGGAGGGAATTCCCTAATCACATTTATTCTTAAAATGAGAAGAAACACCAACTTGAAATACAAGGCAAGGTCTGTAGCAATGATCGCGATGTCCATCATGTGGATTGCATGCTCGTGCTGCCTGCGATTGAGGTTCTGAAAGATATTTAGGCTCTAAAGAGAAAATGGAGGGGAAAAAAGTGATGTGAGAAGGAGAGAAGGGAGAAGTGATGCTGGCAGTAAAGTCATTCAATTCCCGATGGCTGCCCCAGGTGACCAGAGAGACAGCCCAGGCCAATGCCTGGCTACACTCAGGCTTCTTGTGAGATGGGGACTCCTTCTCAGGCCCCAAAGCCAATGCAGAGGGCCCTCATCCTACCTCATCTCTCAACAGTGTTTTACCAAACTCCAAGTGGTGTCTTTCCAAGATGGAGGACCCATGGAGCTTGGCCAATGGGTTCTGGGATCTGAAAGAGGAGAAAGAGACACACAGAGAAAGGATTAACATGGAATAGCTGAGATGAAGGTTAAAGACATCATCCATTCCTGTCACCTCTTAATTCAGCAGGTAGAGATGTTGACATGCAGGAATAAGAAGGGACTTGTCACATAGTACAACAGTGAGAAATAGGACTAGATGGCAGGTGTCCTGGCTCTCATACTTTAACTTTCTTTATAACTAACTCTAGGCCTCTTTGGGGACATGGCCTCCCTAGAAGTGTGGACCCTTATCCACAGAAAAAGACACAAACACAATACCACATGCAGTTTTACAAACCCATCCCCATAGCCATCCATGGACCCTGGCACTTGGCCAGTACTTTACTTTTTTTTTTTTCCCAAGCCAGTACTTTAAAGATCGCTAAGCCCCAGATCTTCCAAGCCTGATTCTGAGAATTCACTGGATTCCCACAAGCAACATATTTATTCACATCTTTATTCAACAAACATTTGCTAAGCCCTTGTTGTGTGCCAAGCACTGAGATCAGTACTTTGCCTTCTACAAGGTAAAATGTAAAGATAATCTCTAACCTTGGAGCAGCAGGCAAAAAGTGAGAAGACTCACAGAAGCATGACTTACAGTCTGTGGGCCCTGGGCAGAGCCTGGGTATGACACTAGTCCCTGCTCTGCCCAGTCCACATGGTGGTCATGAGGGTCCGCCAAGACCATGGTTCATGGCCCCTACTTCAGAGACTATCTAGAATATAAGCTCTGTGAGGTCAGGGACTGTGTCTGGTTTGTTCACCATGGAACCATCTTGGCCTAACATAGGGCCTACCACACTGGCCTTTTGCGCATTATAAACCCAAGGTGAATAAATGAATCATTAGCAGTTACTAACACCTTGGCTTAAATTAGTTCAGTAGGTAGGAGAGGAAGGAGCAGAGTGAGAAAGCTTAATATATTAGTTTCCTGCTGCTGCTCTAAAAAATCACCACAAACTTAAATGGCTTAAAACAATAAAAATTTAGTGTCTTCCGGCTCTGGAGTTCAGAAGTCTAAAATGGTCTGAAGAGCTGCTTCCCTTCTGGAGGTTCTAGAGGAGAATGTTTCCTTGCCTTTTCTAGCCTCTAGAGGCCCCTAATTCCTTGGCTTGTGACCCATCCTCCATCTTTAAAGCCAGCAGTGTAGCATCTTCTGTCCTCCCTGAGTTCCTACCTCCTTCTTACAGGGACCCTCCTAACTAACTATTTGGGGTCCACTTGGATAACCCAAGATAATCCCTATATTTCAACATCCTTAATCATGTTTATGAAGTTTCTTTTGAATGTAAGGCAACATATCCCCTGGCCCCAGGCACTGGGGTGTGGACATATTTAAGCTCCATTATCCTATCACAGGAGTTTACCCAGAACCAAAGGGTAGGAGGAAGTGGGAAGCTGTGGACCGTGGGAATTCCCCATGGCAAATGAGTCTGTCTAAGACCCGTTCAGATCTAGGTAGTCAATCCCAGAGGCAGGAGGTAGAGAGAAGGGCCAGTAAGGGCTGACTCACTTCATCTGGTAGAGATTGTTAGTGCCTCTGTGGTCAATGTCATGGCAGAAGGCGGCGGTGACCATGGCCAAGGCCTCCAGGTCTGTGAAGTATCGCTTCAGCTTTCCGGTCTGGAAGGGCAGTCAGAGATGCTACTCACTCCTTTTGTGTGGGGCTTGGAAGCAGGACTGAGAGAGCAGGAGTAAGGGGGAGGGCCTGGAGCTCGGAAACTCAGGGCTGGTCTTGGCTGGACCCCTGGGCCACAGGATGGCCAGACGTTTGCCAGGACTGAGGTGTGGATGTGGGACTCTCTCTGCTAGAACACTGGGGCAGTCCAGGCCAAGGTGACGGTGGGTCGTTTTACTCCCGAGTCACCTTCGCTGGTCCCACCTCCCTCTGCGCCTTAAAGCGGAGGGCGTCAGACTGGATGATTGCTGAGAAACAGACAGCCCTGGACTTTGAGGATTTAGACGGTGTTGGAACATGTCCAGACTGGTAAAACAAACCTTCCAAACCTGGTCTACTGGTTCAAACACAGCTCAGAAGAATTTTTCCCTGGGTGTCCTCACTTGTTTGGGCCTCACTTGTTTGGGCCGGGTGTTGGAGTCAAGGGTGGAAAGAGCCCTGAGGACGTGCTGCTGACTCGTGACTCACATCTAATAATCACGTCTAAGCGGTGTGTTTTTCACCTTTGGAGGCAGCCTGACTAGAATTCCTGCCCCCAGGCCCCTGTGCTTTCTCTGACCTGACCATTCCAGCCACGAGGGAAAGGAATGAGGATGGGGACACAGGGCAAGGGCAAAGATTTGTGTCATAACCTGGATGGGAAAACACTTTTAAGTGAAATATAAAAACTCCAAGCCTTCTGAGACAAAATGACTCACACATATACACATAGGTGTGTCCAACCAAGGACATAATAGCATTGTTTGTAATAGAGAAAGATCAAAAGCAATCCTCATGTCAACAATAAGGGAGCTAGGTAAAGAAAGTGTTGTCTACTTAACACAAAATACTATGAAGTCATAAAATTAGATCATGGATAAGCCTTGAAGATATTATGCTAAGTGAAATTAATCAGACACAAAAGGACAAATACTGTATGATTCTACTTAGGTGAGGTACTTATAAGAAAGGAAATTCATAGAGACTGAAAAAGTAGAATGCTGGTTCCTAGGGGCTGGAGACAGGAAATGGGGAGTTGTATTAATGTTGTTGTTTAATGGAGACAGGGTGTCTGGGAAGTTGGAAAAGTTCTAGAGATGGAGAGTAGTGATGGTTGCACAATACTGTGAACATACTTGATGCCACTGAATTGTGTACCTAAAAATGGCTTAAATGGTAAATTTTGGGTTATATATGTTTTACCACAATAAAAAATATATATAGAAAAATGTGATTGATATATTTATTTTCAAATAAAAAAGCATATTATAGAATCATATTATTTAATTGGTTATAACTAAAATAAATTTTGTGTATGTGTGTGTGAACAAATCTATCTCGATGCTTCTAGAAGGAAATCTGGAAGGAGCTGTGCCATAGTTTTCTCCAAATACTAGCTTGGGGGTGGGAGTAGAATACTGGCTTTCTTTCACTTTTTATTTTACATACTTCTCTCTTCTTCGAATTCATTTATGCTAAGCATGTACTCTTGTTGTCTATTTTTTAAAAAGGCAATAAATAGAAGAACGATGCCGCTGCTGCCTGGGGAGCTGCACTGAGATGTCCAGGGTAGCGGGAGCCCCTAGCAGCCCGAGGTCCCTCCCAACACGCCGCTGGGTCCCACTGTTCTCCTACCACCAGCAAGGAGAACATGGTCTGCCCCACGTTGAAGCCGTGCCGCCAGTTGTGGTAGGTGATCCTGCGGTAGCCCTTACTCAGGGAATACATGAAGCGCACCAGGGCCTGCGAACACACACACAGCACATTGTGAGGCAGCAGCACCGCGCTGGGGTGGGCGTCGGGGGGCGGGGGTGGGGGGGCGCCTGCCTGGCTGAGACCCCCATGTTCCAATTCCCACACTGGACCACAAGTGGGCGCTAGCAATAGATGCACTAAGGCTGTGAGAGCACTTTCAAACGGCTGGATACTATGACAATGGACGTGGTTATGAAACAAGGTCCTGGGAGAAGCTTGCAGGAACTGTACGAGAGAAAACCAAAGGCATGTTGAAATCAGTGGTTCTCAGACTTGAGTGCATGTCTGCATCGCTGCGGGGTGTGGGAAGGTCTTGTTAAAACAATTTCTGATTCCTCACAGCCAGTGGAGAGAGGAGGGGGAGAAAAGAGAGTGTATGTGTGGGTGTTGGTGGACCCGTTCCGGCATTGATCCTTTTTCAGGTGATACTAATGTGGCTTAAAGCACAGTTAGGACTGCTGCTTTAATCAAAGAAGTCTGGGAAATTCTGCACACAATACGTCCCCAGCTCCACCTTTTCTGTCCATCCCCATGCCTCTAGATGCACAGCACACCTAAAGAATCCTGCAGGGGAAAAAAACCCTGTCTAAATGGATTTAACACACATTTCCCACCCTGTTGAACTGTAGGAACTTTTTTTTTTTTTTTCGCATTGCTTTTATCCACAACCTTCAAAACTCAGTACCTCAGAACCTACCTTGAGAAACATCATGGTTCAGAGGAACCATGTGTTTCTTTTCTGGTAAATGACTCATCTGTGTGATATGACTAATGCTTTAAATCTTAAAAGCTGAGAGTACACTTTTTCCAAGGCAGTTTACAGATTGAGGTTTTTGTTTGTTTGTTTGTTTAAGCAAGCAAGAAAGGAAGGGGGGAAAAAGGGAAACCAAAGGTTTGTTTCAACCTCACCTCCTGAGGAATGTGAAATTTATCCACCACTTTGAGCTCATAGTACATCTGTATTCCACATTTCACCAGCTCAAGTTCCGTCAGGGGCAGATCGCTGAAGTGGAATTTATTAATTTCATATTTGTCTGCATCTGGCAGCTCTCCTTGCTGTATGAAACATGGAGTTAAGTCACTGGGGCACATGAGGAATTCCTTGGTCCCTCCCTCACCCCACCCCCCACCAGCCCTGTCCCTGATCTGAGTTTGCTGGAAGGATCAGAGCAGAGTGGCAAGGGTCACACTTGGCAGAGATGCTCCCCACAACATGCTTAGGGGCACGCACGCCCTGCGCTTGTAACAGGTCAGGACCAGTGATGCTGCCCAACTCACCAGGATCTCAGCCAGTTCTTCTTCCTCGCATTCCCACGGCTCCTTCCCATACACCTCTCTGGTTTTCTGCCAGGGCCCGAAAGAGCAGAGAAAAACATTAGTTTACTACATCTGAGGTCAAAGTTTGTCTCTACTTTTCCATTTCCTTTTTTCTTCTTCCTCCAAAGTTCTCGCAACAGAGCTGCCAAGTCAGAGAGGCTGCCATTCAACGTTTATTGACAAGTAAATTCACGGTCATGGGATTTGGAGTCATGGAGTCCTGCGTGCAAATTCAGGCTCTATCAATTGGACCCCTCATTCCTCATCTGAAAAATGAGGATACTAAAAGTATTTAACTGGCAGATTAAAATTAGATTATCCAAAGTCATTTAAAAAATGTATATGAAATTAAAATAATGCATGTAAATCGCTGACAGCAGTGCTTGGTCTATAGTGAGTGCTAGGATTAAATAATGCTGTTGATATTCTTACTGTTTTTATTACTAACTGGGAGTCTGGAGGTCTTGCTCATGGCCCTGGCTTTTCCTCTTACTATGTGACTTGAGCCAAGTTCCTTCCCCTCTGGTCCTATTCCCCCTGGGTTACAGGGGGAGAGGAACTTGGACCCAATAACTTGTTACAGATTTCTTGATCTAGAGCAGAGTCTACCTACTTTTAACTGGTTCACTATGCCTCCATAGGGTCTACATATCCATCATGTTCCTTAAAATTGTGGACTGAGACAAGCAAACCATTAACCAGTTCATCCAAACTAGATATTTTCTTCTTTGAATTTCTCAGTTATTGGGATCAAAATGATCCGATTTGTTGTGATATCTTTCCAGCTTAAGAAATGCCCTCTGAACACATTGGCTTATATTTTTTCAACTTGTACAGTGCATAAACCCAACAAGTCTTGGAAGCTCAGCTGGGCATCATATCTAATGCTCTTTGGTTTATTCAGTTTGCTTCTAAAACCTTGATCTTTTTGAGTCCAAAATTTCAGGAATGGTGGATTGCTGATTCTCACATATCTTGGAAAGCCTGTCATCCTCTTTCCCACCCACGTGGGACTCTCCTCTATAGCATCCTTGATATGTGCTCATCTAGCCTGTGTTGCAATATTTCCCATGACAGAGTGCTCACTACCTTCCAAGGAAGCCCTTTCATAACAGTGATAATTTGTTCATTATCCTGATAAATGTTAAATGAAAATTATTTAGTGAGTTGTGTGATTTGGGGATAACTTCCTTCCCCCTTCTGGGCCTCAGTTTCTTCATGTCTACAATAGGGTGAAAATCCTTACCCTGCCTATCTTACTGGGCATCATAGGTATGAAATACCGGATATACTCTCTAACGATGAAGCTATGTGATGGCTTCCTGCCAACATCTGACCCTACCCTCTGAACTATTTCTTTGCTCAGAAAGTTTGACCTTATAAGTCAGGTCTGATCCTGCCTCTGTAATTTAGAGCAAGACTCTCTGAGCCTCCATCTTCTCAGCTGTAAAATAGGTGTGGTTAGCTGACCTCATGGAGGGAGGCTCTGAGCAACTGACCATTGTCCATTGGTCTGACAGATAGAGCTTCCTCTCAGAGTGGGAATTGTGGTTGGTGACTCCATCTCTAGTACCAACCAAGTCAGCCCTGAACACAGAGGAAAATGGAGTTTCTAGAGCTGTTCAGCCACAACATAGTTTTAAGACTGAGGTAACCCTGAGAGGGACAGCTGTTCCCAGAACAGCCTTTCCTTGAGGAGAAACAGGGAAAAACCACTACCCACCAAGATTGTCTGGATTTCTTCATTGTCACACTTCACATGGTATTTTACCATGTCTTGGAAAATATCCTTCCTGTTTTCAAGTTTGTTCATTGACTCATAAGTGTCAGGATTTAAGACAGACCAGCCCAGGAACTGAGCCAAAGACTGAAAGGAAAGAAAGGAAGAATCAGAGGGATAATATTCTGGTCTGGTCCTTTCTCTGTAACTTGGGGCAACACCCTTAGCCTCCATCTTCTCAGCTATAAAACAGGTGTGGTTAGCTGTGTGCTGGCCTCCTCAAAGGGATGCTGTGAGGATAAGATGAAATGGTGGCTGAGAATACATTTTGAGTAAAGCTCTAGCGCGAAGTGTCATCCTCATGCATAACAACTTCACAAAAAGGGAATGTGTTGTCCCTATGTGGGGACCGAGGATATAAATGAACTCTGTGCTTTTTGCTCAACTTTGCTGTGAATCTAAAGCTTCTCTAAAAGGTAAAGTTTGTTAATTTTTAAAGAAGGGAATATAGATTTCTTTGGCAACCGAGGCAGTGCAGGAGGAGAGTCAAATATAAATGTTGAATCAGGAAAGAATCTACAAGGTGAGCCCCTATCCCTCCTGGGCTGGGGCAGCAGCATGCTAGGTCCCTACCACATGGCTCTGGAAGTCCCATGTTCAGAGTCACCTCTGAATCCCACATCCAGAGGCCTCCTTAAAAAACCATACCTCCATGAGAGTCTCATCCATTTCATCAAACGGTTTCCCATCTTTGCGATTGTAAAACGTGGCCACCCCAACAATTTCTTCCTTCTTGTTCACAATTGGCATAGAAAGGACGTTTTTAATCGTCCATCCAGACTCATCCAGAGGCTCTTTCTGCAAGAGAAGAGCCAGAAAAAGTTTCCCGGGTACCAGGCTACAGAAACATCCACGACGGATGTTTCTGCATGACGGATGTCATGCTGTGTTGTGACCTTGCTTGGCTGAGGGGGTGGCAGGAGGTTAGACCTTGTTGGATTATGCCTGGTTTTAGTCACCAAATGCCACAAGCCGTTTGCCCATCTGGTGGGAGCTCCATAAGCCAAATAGCTATACTGTTTACATTCCTAAGGTATCAGGGCTGTTATGTGCCAGGCAGTGAGTTGTGTGTTGCTGGCTCTAAGGATGCCCACAAACAGTACAGGGAGGCAGTGTTTCCCTTTCAGATACAGGAGCTGACTGTGGAGGACGGGGCCCCAGTGATACTTGTAACTTTGAACTCATCAAGTAGATATAACCTGCACCTTTTGACTGCTGATCTGCCTGTCTGTGTTCCTTTTGGCACGTCATTTTATCTCCATGGACCTCAATTTTCTCATCTATACATGGGGACGGTAGTAAGAGTATGTGCCTCATGGGACAAATGAGAAGATAGAGGTGAAATTTCTTAGTCAATTAGAAGGTGCTCTTTGTGAGTCATTTCCTATTTGAGCCTCACTTCCATCATCTATAAAAATAGGACTAACTAGACTAGATACTTTCTAGGCCTTTCCCACTGATTCATTAAAGATTTATCAAGGGTTTTACAATGTGCAAGAGCTAGAATCTGAGGAAACCAAGGCAAGTAAGGCACAGCTGTTGTTCTCAAGCTGCCCATCATCTGGAAGTTAAGGAGGAGGCCATCAAATGGCATGCAGGAAGTTCTCTAAGGTACTGTGGGAGCCAGGGAAGGGAAGGAAGTCAAGGAAGGTTTCCTGGAGTCGGAGAGTCTTCCAGCTCAGTTGTTCCAAGGTTTTGAAGGTGGCAAGATGATGGTTATTATTATTTCTGTAACACTGGAACTTAGCACGTGGGAGGAAAGTGACCCCAGAGGGATGCAGAACATAGTCCAAAGGGCGTCAGGCTGTCAGTCAGGAAACTTGAGTTTACGGCCTGCCTTCCTCCCCACTCTCTTCCTCACCTTGGGGGAGTCCCTTCCCTCTGAAGGCCCTGATAAGGAGGCAGATTTTATCAAGAGTGAAATGGGAAAGCATTAAAAATTTTTAAGGAGAGAAGTTATTTGCGACAACCTATTTTTTTTTAAAACATCACTTGGGCTTCTTTGTGGAGATAGAAGACTATGATCTAAAAACAAGGTCAGATTTGGTTCATGAATATGAGTAGACTATAATCAGATGACTTGGGTAAAGACCAAGTTCTCTTTTGGTTATAATCATGGTAGCAACTCTCAGCAACAATCTGCCTTGTCATACTGATATGATCAACATCACAACACAAGACACACAGTTTTAACCTTGGAAGGATAGTCTCTCTAAGGTCTTTCATAATACTCTTTAAGGAGTAAACACATAAGCCACTAATTTTTATGAGTCATTTTTATTTCCTTCTTCATTATTTTCTGACCGCTTATGATTTGTTTTCCGTATACCTAGCATGCTAAACTCAAAATATTGACAGGGCACCTGCAGCTGAAGATGTTAAGAAAGATAAGCCACAAACCTTTGACCTAAGAAAGCCAATATTTTACCAAGAAGAATTAGTCTAAAAGGCAAGGAAGGAACATAAAATATGAGGTAAGGGAAATGGAGTGACGAAGACAAACTCCTTGGCACGGCCTTCCAAGCTCTGTGTTACCTGGCCTGTCTCCCTCTCTAGAATTTCCTCCTGCCACTCTCCCCTCAGGCTCAATGATCTACTCTGGTTCCTTCCGCAAGCCTGCTCTTTCCTGCAGTCCTCTCTCCATTTTTTACTGCCCAAACATAATTTCTCAAGGACACATTCCTTGATTCCTTCCAGATGAACTCAGGCCCCCCTGAGATTCCCTCCTCTACCCTTCTCCTGGCCAGCGCTCCATATGTCTCTCTCGCCATGAGATCATGAGCTCCTGGCAAACATAGACCATGCCTATCTGGTCCACCTCTGTAGCCAGTGGAGCATTGGGCCAATGCCTGGCCCAGACCGTGCCCTCCACAAACATTTTTTTAAAAAAGACACACAGACAACATCAAATGGAATACTAAACAAGATTCTGTGATCATCTTAAGGAGACAGAAACGATACTCAGCCAGGGGAAGCAGAATAAAAGCTCATAAAAGTTTCATAGCATTGAATCTGTCATTGAAGGGCAGAGGGCATCTGGGAAAGAGATGGTGGTGAGGGAGAGAACTGCATAAGCAAAGGTCCCGAGGCCAGAAAGCAAAGGCTATAAACCTTAAAACCAAATGGAACCTTGGCATTTACCAAATTAATTCTTTCCCCACTTCCATTAACACATGACTTTTTTCCACTCACATTTTCACTTTATTGAGATTGCTTCCCAATAAAGTAGATGGATTCTAATGTGTTCTAATCCTCCTTGGGGGGGGGGGGAATACCATATAACTAAGAGAGCAAATGAAAAATGACTTACCTGGAATGCAAAAAAGTCCTCCGCAGGCGCATTCATGATGTTGCAAATCTGAAAGCCATGGAGAGGAATAATGAGTTTTGATTAGACTTGATAGAGTACACATCGAGGGCACTGGGCATGCTATTTTCAAAATTACCACATCCTTGCCCACGGCATTCACATTCTTTTCATTAGGTAGACGTGCTCAAGATGGTTTTGAATTATTAACTGAGGTTACCAAACAGGAAAGCTGCCTTATAAACATGACTTCTTACCATTTGCTTTACCTCTGAGTCATTTCTAAGCTTTGAGAAAGTTAAGGCTGTAAGTTGTCATTTTTAATAGCTGTATAGTGTCCTATTTTCTTTTTTTACATTAGCTTTTTTTCATATTTCATTTTTTTAGTTATACATATCCATACACCTATTCCTTTTCAGATGCTTTTCCCATATAGGTTATTACAGAGTATATGTATGTACTGTGCTATATAGTAGATCATTGTTGATTATCTATTTTATATATAGCAGAGTATACATATTAATCTGAACCTCGGAATTTATCCCTCCTCTCCCCCCGCCCCCGCTACCTTTCCCCTTTAGGTAACAGTAAGTTTATTTTCTAAGCCTGTGAGTCTGTTTCTGTTTTGTATGTAAGTTCATTTGTGTCTTTTTCTTTAGATTCCATACATACCTGATAGCATGTGCTTTGTAGATATCACATACAATCACTTATATGTGGAATCTAGCTTATTGTTTGTAGACTTTTTGATGATGGCCATTCTGATCAGTGTAAGGTGATAACTTCATTGTCGTTTTGATTTGCATTTATCTAACAATTAGTCATGTTGAGCATGTGTTTTTGGCCATCTGTATGCTTTCTTTGGAGAAATACCTATTTAGAATCTTCTGCCTAGTTTTTGATTGGGTTGTCCTTTTTTGGGGGATATAGATCTGTATGAACTTTTTGTAAATTTTGGAGATTAATCTTTTGTTGGTTACTTTGCAAATATTTTCTCCATTCTATGGGTTGTCTTTTTGTTCTGCTTGTGGTTACCTTAGCTACACAAAACTTTTAAGTTTAATTAGGTCTCATTTGTTTATCTTTGCTTTTATTTGCATTTCTCTAGGAGGTGGATCTAAAAAGATATTGGTGTGATTTATTTCAGAGAGTGTTCTGCCTCTGCTTTCCTCTAGGAGTTTTATAGATTCTGGTCCTACATTTAGGTCTTTAATTCATTTTTAGTTTATTTTTGTACGTGGTATTAGAGAATGTTTTAATTTCACTCTTTTACACATAGCTGTCCAGTTTCCCAGCACCACTTATTGAAGAGGCTGTCTTTTCTCCATTGTATATTTTTGCCTCTTTTGTTGTAGAATTAATTGGCCATAGCTTATGGGTGTATTTCTGAACTTTTTATCCTATTCCATTGATCTATAAGTCTGTCTTTGTACTGACACCATACTGTTTTGGTTACTGTAGCTTTATAGTAAGGTGTCCCATTTTCTTTCCCCCTTTTGTTCAGGAATGGATTATGTCCAGTTTTTTTTTTAATTAATATAAATAATGCTACCGTAAACATTTCTGAAATGATTATATTTGTTTTGCCGGGCAAGAGTTTTTCCTTGTGGTATAAATGTCACAGCAGATGAAGAAATAAAAAGTGCTGTAGCTCTGGTAGGATGTTGCAAAATTTCTCTCCTGACAACTAGGCCAGTTTACTCTACTGCGCCAGTGATACTTATCTGATCCCTCCAGAGCCCTGCCCATGGGGCCAATGTTCAGATTTTTCCATAAGATGTTGCAGAAAACCCAAATGAACTTTGGCCTACCCAGTAGTAACCATCCAGGTTTTCTCTTTCTTCTCTTGCATTCTCTACCTTCTCATTACCCACTCACAGCTCAGAAGACCACCTGCTGGTTTCTGTACCCACTCCCCTATCCCATCACCTTAACACCAAGCCTGTTCTCATTAGGGATATCAGTGACCTCCTAGTTGCCAAACCCAATGGGGACTTTCAGTTCTTATCTCACTGGATCACTTTTGTTGCATTTGGTATTCTCTCTCTTTATTGAAATCTTCCACTTCCTTGGTTTCCATGACACTACCCACCCCTGGGTCTCCAGACGCTTCTGAACCCTTCTACCAATTTTCCTTCACACACTCTTCTTCTGCCACTCAATCTTTAAATGTTGGCATCCTCCAATATCCTACTTGAGTCCCCCTCACTCTCCCTGGTGACTTTATCCACACTCATGGTTTCAAGCACCATCTGCTACTAGGAGCAAAATGGTCGAGGATTATAACAGTTTCTATGCTATAATATCTTCTGCATTGTAGTCAGTATGAACCTCTGCCTTTTGTTGACACAAATCTCCATCTCCATCCCTTATCTAACTCCACAGTGGCAGAGTCATCTCTCTAGCTACTTGCTGGACACCTACTCCTGAGAAGTCTCTGTCGCACCTTATCTGAAACTGATCTCAGCAGGTAACATCCAAACCTGCTGGCAGCATTATCCATCCAGTCTAGAAATCTGAAATTGGCTTTGACTCTTCTCTCCCTGTCTCTCTGCTCACAATCAGTCACAAAGCCCTCTCACTGTTAGATCTGAGTTCTGATCTTCCTCTCTCCACCTCCTCTTTGTTTGAGCTGTGAGTATTAAATGACCAAATGTATTTACTGCCTGGCGTATCATAAGCACTCGGTGGCTGTTTAGTGTTCTTTCCTGCCTCTGCCTTTGTTGAGATGTTCATCACCTCTTGTTTGTGATGACATACTTTTCTCTCTGCTTCCAATCTTAAGTCTCTTCAGATCTATTTTCCAGGGAGCTTTCAGAATTTTCTTTCTAAAATGAAATTTATCGTGTCAACCTCTTACTTAAAAACCTGTCACCTGTGGATTGAAGTTCCACCCTCTTGATCTACCATCCAAAGCTGCTATGATCTGGCCCCTCCCTTTTTCCCTCTCAAGCCTCATCTCTTGCCATCTTCCTGTCTCAAACCTAACACTCCAGCTACTCCAAACTGCACACACCGTGTTGCTCCCAATTTCCAAGCTAGAGTTGTTGGCCTGTGTTGTTTTCTCTACCATGTTGCTTCCTGGTCCCTACCTGCCTTACCCCTATTTATTTTAAAATTCAACTCATACCAAAACACCCCGGAAAGTAAAGGCTGGTTTAGATGTCCCCTCACCCCGCCTACTTTGTGTTCCTAGAATATACCATGTACATCTCTATTGTGACCCTATTGCATTATAATATAAGTATCTGTTCATAAAGATATCTTCCATTTGATGATGAGCTTCAGGACAGAAATTATTTGACTCATCTATCTTTGTATCCCCACAGCCAGCTACAGCACCTGGCACATAGAGAATGCCCAATAAATAAACACCCTGATACATGAACAGTACTGTGTAGTGTGTGCCTGGGAAAGGATACAGAGATGAGTGGCCTCAAATTCAGGGATGATGTGCTGCTAATACCCATGGCCCTTTTCTCGAGGGCAGGGGATGCTGTCACTTTACTCTGGACCCTGTGGGTAGGGCATGTGGGAGACAGAGCATCTGAGCTCCACTGTGAGGTTAGAAATGTGGCAGGGATGGGGGCTTGGGAGGGGCAACCAGGTCTCTGGGATAAGAGGCTGGGTCTTGCTCTGTGGTGAGCCTCATGGACCAGCCAGTCATGACATTATCCCTGATATTTGCATAAGTATCTTTGGTTGTCAGGGAGACTTACACTTCTCTGTCTCATGTTTCTTCAAATGTCAATTTTGTGTACATCCCCTTGGACCAGCCATCAAGCGAGTTGAGAAACGAGAGAACCAGGCTTTGAGAGATCCATACTTGCCATAGTTTTTCCCAGTCTCTTGATCTGAAATCCCTTTACTCTTCCACCTGATTCAAAACTCTCCCCCTTGAATGTTATATTACTTACCAGGCCATTTTGGGCAACATAAGTGGGGAGACCGCTCACCAAAGCCCAGTGGTCTGGAGGTGGGTTCCTGTCAAGACCAAAGACAGTGGTGACTTTTGAGGTGGGGACAGATGGACTAAAAACTTGAAACTGGATCTTACCCTCCCTCTTCTCTCTGGTGGCTTCAAGTACCCCCCAAGATCAAGCCCCAAATCTTGGCTAAGCATCTTAGTGTCCAAATGTCGACACTGAGAAAAAAGTCATAAATCAGTTTTATGGATTTCATGCTAAGAGACAAAATTGATCCAACAGATGGTTACTGGCTGCCTAGCAAAACCAGATGCCATCATTTCCCTCCACCAGTCCTTATGGAGAGTGAGTTGCTCAATACCGTGTAGTGTGAGGGAAACCCACCTAGGATGAGCTCCTACCACATGCCAAGCACTAAGCTAGGCGCTTTACATACTTATTTATCCTTCATTCCCAAGTGACTCAGATGGTAAAGCATCTGCCTGTATTGCAGGAGACCCGGGTTAGATTCCTGGGCCAGAAAAATCCCATGGAGAGGGGAATGGCAACCCATTCCAGTATTCTTGCCTGGACAATTCCATGGACAGAGGAACCTGGCAGGCTATAGTCCATGGGATTGCAGAGTCAGACATGACTGAGTGACTAACCTACACAGCAATATCACAATTTAGATTTATATATTTATTTTATATGGTATATTTTTACTTGTTTATTGCTAAAAATACACAGAAAAATGTATTAAGAACTTCAGTTGTTTGAAAGTGAACACCTATGGAACCACATCTATGAAACTCTAACAACCTGTTGACACCTTGGAAATCCCTAACCTGCCCCTCCCACTCACAACCTTCTCCTGAACCCCAAAGGGAATGGTTGTCCCAACTTTATGATTCTTGCTTTTCTGTGGAGTTTTACCACCTGATTTCCTGTACCCTGTTTGACATATTTTTCAACTTCATTCAGGTGGACTCATTCAATGAACATGCATTATTTTGTTGGACTTCTTTTTCATGTCGCTGTAATTCATTTGTTTGATAGACTTAAACTATTTTTCCTTGTAAGATTGCATATAATTTATGCATTATGTTGATGGACATCGCTTAGTGTGAGGCTAACATGAGTATTGCTGCTTCCAACACTCTGGTGTATGCATGCTCTCAGTTCCATGTGGTATTTCTGGAGTAGAAATACTGGGTCATAAGATGTGCATATCTTCAACTTTACTCGAGAAAGCCAAACTGTTTTCTAAAACCCAATTTTCACTACCATCGGTGGTATATCAGAGTTGCCTTTGCTCCATGTCTCTGTCAATGCTTTAGTATTTTCTGACATTAAAAAAAGTATTTTTAGATTAATAAAGTTCTCTATGGAAATAATTGTAACATGTTTCTGTTAATGTGACAGACTTTATAGATTGATTGTTCTAATGTTAGCCTTGCATTCCTGGACTAAACTCAATTGGGTCATGATGTATAACCCTTTTTAATTATTATCTGATAAAATTTTATTTAGGATCTTTGCATCTAGGTTCACAAGTAAGCTTGGTATGAATTTTCCTTTTTCATACAGACTTTGTCGAGTTTTGGTGTCAAGTTTATACTAGTCATTTTTTTCCCCTCTATTCTCTTGGATAATTTGTATGAGAATTGTGTTATTTCTTCCTTAAATATTTAGTAAAACTCATCTCTGAAGGCATCTGAGCCTGAAATGTCTTTATGGAAGGGTTTTAATGTATTTTACTGTTATAAGACTATTGTGATTTTCTAATTTCTCTGTGATTTATATTTAGTAGGTTTTATTTTTATAGAAATTTGCCTCTTTCATCTAGATTTAAAATATTCTGGGCACAATATCTTCTTATTGTATCCTGTTAGTGTCTATATGCTTGTGGTTATTCCTCTTTTCCTTCCTGATACAGTTCATTCAAGTTCCTATTTTTCTTGCTCAGTCTTGCCAGAAATTCATCAATTTGATTAATCTGTCCAAGAAACCAACTTTTGGCATTTGTTCAATATTTTGTTAATATTTAATTAATTTCTGGGCTTATCTTTATTATTTTGAAAGGGTATGCTTGTTTGTTGTTAGTTTCTTGAGATAATGTGATGGATAACTCCCATCTGCCCCTCCAGAGCCACTTCCAACCTGTTCCTCCCTGTCACGGGAGGCCAGTCTGTGTGGATTCCATCAACAGGGTGTCTGGCCTTCTAGCTTCTGACTGAGTTTAGACTGAAGAGGAGACCTAGCCAAAACTACAGGGCGGTAGAACAGGAAGGTCAGGCTATTTATTTCCCTGGGTTCCTCCTGGCAGCGTTGCTCTGAGTTTGTTTTGTCTGCACTTCTCTATCTAAGGATGGCCTGCTCTACATTACTGTTTCTCCTCACCACATTCTAGAAATTTCCTTAGGGCCCAGAAGTGCTTACAACTTTACTACTAAAATATTCTCTTGTGGTTGGTTTCCTTCATTCCATCCACACACACACCTCTGTAATTCATCCCTTTGGAAATAAACCCTCCTTGATTTACCCCGATTTTTAAAAAAATATTTCTTTGACTGCTCTGGGTCTTAGTGATGGTACATGGAATCTTTAGCTGCAGCATTCAGACTCTTAGTTGCGGCATGTGGGATCTAGTCCCCTGACCAGGATCAAACCCAGGCCCCCTGCACTGGGGGCGGAGAGCCTGAGCCACTGGACCACCAGGGAAGCCCCCAAATACCCTAATTTAAATGTGACACCTAGTATCTGTTGGGGCCCTGGCTGATATAATTTTGGTACATAGTTTATTACTTTATTTTTTATTACTTTCTAGTATGAAAGTATAATACTGTAAATTTCACCTTAGGTATGATTTCACTGCATCACATTGGTTTTATCACATATCATGTGATATTGTCATTCTCTTCAGTTCAGAAAATATAATAATTTCCACTGAGTTCTTCTTTTACCCATGGATCATATGGAAGTGTATTCCTTTTTTTTTCCATAAAAGTAGTTTCTAGTTTCCAAGCACATGGAGATTTTTTTCTAATTAACTCTTTGTTATTAGTTTCTAGCATATTTTCATTGTGACTAGAAGACATCTCTGTATGATTTCAATCATTTGAGGTTTGTTTTTTTTTTTTTTTTTTTCATTTGAGGTTTGTTTTATGGTCTGTTATATCACCAGTTATCATAAATGCACAGGTATTCTTGAAAAGACTGAGAGTTCTGTAGTTTGGGTGTGAGATGTCATGTTTTATTAATGTATATATCCATTAGATTGTTTGGTAATTATCTTATTTAAATATTCTCTATTCTGTTTATTTTAGTCTACTGTAACAATTAGCAAACATGAATTTGTCTATACATTCTTAAGTTTCTGTCAGTTTTTGCTTTCTTTTTGAGGCCACATTGTTAAGCATATACACATTTGTAAATTCTTCCTAGAATGTCAACTTAAATTGACCCCTTTATCATTCAATTCAGTTCAGTTCAGTTGCTCAGTCATGTCCAACTCTTTGCAACCCCATGAACCACAGCACGCCAGGCCTCCCTGTCCATCACCAACTCCCGGAGTCCACCCAAACCCATGTCCATTGAGTCGATGATGCCATCCAACCATCTCAACCTCTGTCGTCCCCTTCTCCTCCTGCCCTCAGTCTTTCTCAGCATCAGGGTCTTTTCCAATGAGTCAACTTTTCACATCAGGTGGCCAAAGTATTGGAGTTTCAGCTTCATCATCAGTCCTTCCAATGAACACCCAGGACTGATCTCCTTTAGGATGGACTGGTTGGATCTCCTTGCAGTCCAAGGGGCTCTTAAGAGTCTTCTCCAACACCACAGTTCAAAAGCATCAATTCTTTGGCACTCAGCTTTCTTTATAGTCCAATTCTCACATTCATACATGACCACTGGAAAAACCATAGCCTTGACTAGATGGACCTTTGTTGGCAAAGTAATGTCTCTGCTTTGTCTGCAAAGTAATGTCTATGCTGTCTAGGTTGGTCATAACTTTCCTTCCAAGGAGTAAGCATCTTTTAATTTCATGGCTGCAATCACCATCTGCAGTGATTTTGGAGCCCAGAAAAATAAAGTCAGCCACTGTTTCCCCATCTATCTGCCATGAAGTGATGGGACTGGATGCCATGGTCTTAGTTTTCTGAATGTTGAGTTTTAAGCCAACTTTTTCACCCTCCTCTTTTACTTTCATCAAGAGGCTCTTTAGTTCTTCACTTTCTGCTATAAGGGTGGTGTCATCTGCATATCTGAGGTTATTGATATTTCTCCCTGCAATCTTGATTCCAGCTTGTGCTTCCTCCAGCCCAGCGTTTCTCATGATGTACTCTGCATATAAGTTAAATAAACAGGGTGACAATATACAGCCTTGACATACTCCTTTTCATATTTGGAACCAGTCTGTTGTTCCATGTCCAGTTCTAACTGTTGCTTATGTTGACCTGCATACAGGTTTCTCAAGAGGCAGGTCAGGTGCTCTGGTATGCCCATCTCTTTCAGAATTTTCTGCAGTTTATTGTGATCCACACAGTCAAAGGCTTTGGCATAGTCAATAAAGCAGAAGTAGATGCTTTTCTGGAACTTTCTTGCTTTTTTGATGATCCAGCGGATGTTGGCAATTTGATCTCTGGTTCCTCTGCCTTTTCTAAAACCAGCTTGAACATCTGGAAGTTTACGGTTCATGTATTGCTGAAGCCTAGCTTGGAGAATTTTAAGCATTACTTTACTAGCCTGTGAGATGAGTGCAATTGTGCGGTAGTTTGAGCATTCTTTGGCATTGCCTTTCTTTGGGATTGGAATGAAAACTGACCTTTTCCAGTCCTGTGGCATTAAGAAGTGATTATTTTTACTAATGTGCACCTTGACACCTATTTTTATCTAATAGTAACATAGTTACATCAGTTTTTTTTTGATTATCATTTGCGAGGCATATCTTTTGTTCATTCTTTCATTTTTTCTGTATGATCTTTTAGATAGGTTTCTTGTAAACAGGATATATGGTATTTCTTCATATATCAATATATCTTGGAACTCATCAGTTCTTAGAAGAACCCAGCCTGTGGGATCTTAACTGCCTGACCCCTGCAGTGCAAGTGCAGAGTCCTAACCACTGGACTCCCAGGAAATTTCCAAGAACCGTTTCTTATACACACCTGAGAAAGATAATATTCTGCCAGTTAATCTGTAATACAAGGCTTTTTGAACTTAAAATTATTTATGAATATCGACAGAGCTCGTTTAGCATTTAGATTTAGGTTTTTATCATATCTCACATCTTTCTCCTGTCTCTTTGTGCCATTCAAAGCTGCTTTTTGTTTTGGTGTTGCATCATAGTATAATCTCTTGAAGTTACTTCTGGGAATTTATATTAAGTTCAGTGTGGATATAGCCCCATTGTAGAATGCAGCAAGGTGGATGTTATCAGAGACTAGAGGATGTGATGCTTGGTGAGAAGTGGTGAGATGGGGAACGCTGTGAGCTGTGATAACTCTGAACACAGACAATGAGTCTGATAAACTGGCACCTCTAGAGAAGTGGTCAGAGAACAGGATGGGGGCAGAGTATGCCGTTCACAAGAAAAAAAAAGAAAAGAAATGAATTTAGAAAAGACTTAGTCATTGTATAAACAGGACTGAACAGAGAAAACCCAGAAACTCAGGAACGTAAAGCAATCTCTCATCCCTCATCAGGAAAAGATAAACCAGAGAACTGGGTTATCTGAGTGACTGCACTATCAAAATTCTCTGGCAACAGTTGAGACCTCTCACACGCACTGTTTAAGGATTGAGGTGACCTGCAATAAATCTCTTCATGTGAACCAGAAATGAGAGGAAAGGTGAGGCTCTCCACAGAGGCTGATTCTGGCCTCAAGGAGTCTGAAGTTCACTTGGGAAACAGCCAAGCCTCAGACAGAACTGTGGGCATGGATCCTGGCACCCATAGAGGATTTGAATAGATAAAAAGACAACTGAGTTTTGGGACATGCTCTCCTGATCAAAACGTTCATGCTTATATGCAAAACATTCTTGACTGTTGGAATCTTAAAATGCCCTTTGAGGCCCCACCACCTGCAGGTAGGCCTCACCCTCTGGGATTTTAGCCTTTTTGTTATCCTCCTTGATCACCTAAGACATTAGAGGGGACTTCCCTGGTGGTCTAGTGGTTAGGACTCCGAGCTGTCCCTGCTGAGGGCGCAGATTCAATCTCTGGGGAACTAAGATCCTACATGGTGCAAGCAGAAAAAAAAAAAAGACACTAGAGAGTAAGCTTTCTTTGGGGTCTGAGTCACTTCCTTTGCTAACTTCCTGCCTTTCCCTCACCCTCTGCCTTAGGTCCCAGATGTGCCTCCACAGAAAACCATTGAAAATCCCTGATCAGATTCATGGTCTCATTCCATAGAGAGGCCACTTACTAAACTGGACTTGGGACTTGAACTCACAGCAGCTGACCAAGAATCCAGCCTGCATGATCTTTCCCACCCTTCTGCATGGTCTCTTTGTTGCTCTGCCTGAGTGGGTGGCCTTCTTGGGTTTGGTCAGTGTTGGTTTTTGAATGAGTGTGTTATGGACACCAATGCACCTGCAATTCTGCACATTTGGAGAAGAGACTTACGGGATGACTTTAATGTCTTCTTTGCCATGCAGGATGTAGTCAATGACCTTGTAAAAGTTGATTTCCTAGGCAGAAGAGAGAGAAATATATACTTTCAGAGTCTGAGACAGAACTCCAGCAGGAATGTGTCCTTGAGACAGGCTTTGTTCTTTCCCCTGTGCCCTGGGGTTTTCCAGAAGCACTGGCCTGACCCTCTGAGGGTGTGTCCCAGTGCCCCTGGAGCTCACTGCCAGCTGAGTCTCAAGATTCATCCTGCTCTTCCTTGGAGCCAGCTCACAGTGGCCAGGCAGGGGCTGGGATCTGGGGCTTCAAAAGGAGTAGGAAGTGTTCTGAGGGGGCCTAGGGGTTCGGTACAAGAAAAGATTACTACTGGAGTCTAGTGAGAGAGGAAGATGGAAGGGGGCTCCTGTCCCATTAGCATCATCGTCAACCCAGCCATCCTCCATGCAGTCAGCTTCATGGTCACAGCCCCTTCCTCCTTCACTCAGCTCCTCTCTCTGCTTCATCAGCTCTTTCAGACTTGCCTTCCCAATCATGCCCCATGCATCCCATTCACTTTCCACCTCCTCCATCCCTCCTACCTCCTTGCACCATTAAAACCCCCATTCTCTTACAGTAGATCTGTTCAATTACGTGAAAAATATAATTGGGGAAAAATCCATTACCTTATTAAAATGTCTAAACACCTACATGTGATAGGCATGTTAGCATTTTACAAATATGAAAACTGAGACCCAGAGAGGAGAAAGGACACATTTATTATAAGACAGTGAACCAGGATCAGAACCTAGGCCCTTGACTCCAGCCTGAGAGCTCTTTGTGCTGTGTCACTTAAGGTTCATCGGCTTAAATAGTGTGTTCCTCTCTGTATCACCCTCACCTAGAACAGGATTACTCAAAGTGTGGTCCCTGGATTGGTACCAGTCTGTACACTATTTATTACTATTCCATGATGAGATAAGAACAGAAATTGGCAGTCAGTGTTTAGAAACTTTTATAGGAATTTGACTGAGTTAGGTTATGTCTGCTGAAACTAATAATTTTTAAAAGACTTTAATGTCTTCTAAAATTTTTAGAAGACAATTTTTTCAAATATAGACCTTTATCATATCTTTAAAAGTATTAGTCCAGAATGAATTGGAAATTTTAAAAAATTATTCCTTAACACAGGCATTTTGAGAAGTATCACCCTAGAGTTTAAAATGTAGATATCTGAGCCCACCCAGGCCACCTGACCCAGAACCTCCACAAATAGAAATTCCTTATCTAGTCAAGGTGCCTAGCTGAGAGGTAATTGTGACCTGCAGGATCATGAAGGAGAAGGAGACACTCTGCCCCTCAGTGCTTAGTTTGAAGCAGCTACAGTGACTGAACCCTTTCAGAGCACCCATGGCTGCTCCAGGGTAGGTAAGAGCTCCCTGCAGCAGGAAGCATGCAAGGGGAGGCCAGGTGCCCCCTGCAGCATGATGAAATGGAGTCAGGGATAGATCCATAGTGCAAAGACTCAGGCTCTGGTCTTGGTTCCACTTGGTGTCCTCTCTGGGCCCCAGCTGTAAGATGGGTGGTGCTTGTTTGTTGTCAGTATCAAGTAGCAGAACTCTTTCTCCTCACAAAGCATAGGCCCTACTCCTAGAAAGCAGAGGAAAGTAATGCCACCCTGATGGGAGCAGAGTCTGGTACCTCGAGATCCTGCATCTCTGGGTTCTCCCTCACTCCCTGTCCTGTCCTCTACTGCCCCATTCACCCCTGGCTGAGGCAGCCACTGTGGAAACCTAGGATTCTAAAGATAATCCGGGAATTTAAAACACTGAACTGGAGAATCTGTAAAGCCCATTCCAGCTTTGAGTCTAAGATTGTAGGTGGATAGTAAGCATGAACAGCCTTTTATAGGTTAAAATGCACATATTCTTTGACTCAGTAATTCTACATATGCTAATAAATCCTATAGATATATACCCAAATGTAGGTAAAACCATTGTTTTCCCCACCTAGGGCTCTCAGCCAGACTGCTTTAAAAAGCCTAGAGATAGTTGATGTCCATCCCTTGGAGATGATTGAAAAACAGTGCCTGCGCATAGTGGGTGCTTGTCTTCAGAGTTGTATCTGTGTTGATAGGGAAAGATGCCAAATATTCTCAGGTGGGAAAGTAAGGCACAGAATAGAATTATCACATTTGTCAAGGTGGGTGGTGGAGGAATTCATTCATTTGTTGTTCAGTCACTAAGTTATGTCCAACTCTTTGAGACCCCATGGACTGCAGCACACCAGGCTTCCCTGTCCTTCACTATATCCTGGATTTTGCTCAAATTCATGACCATTGAGTCAGTGATGCTATCTAACCATCTCATGCACTGTTGCCCTCTTCTCTTTTTGCCTTCAGTCTTTCTTAGCTCAGGGTCTTTTCCAATAAGTTGACTTTTTGTATCAGGTGGCCAAAGTACTGGGGCTTCAGCTTCAGCATGAGTCCTTCCAATGAATATTCAAGGTTGATTTCCTTTAGGATTGACCAGAATGATCTCCTTGCAGTCCAAGGGACTGTCAAGAGTCTTCTCCAGCACCACAATTTGAAAGCATCAGTTCTTTGGTGTTCAACCTTCTTTATGGTCCAAGTCTCACACCCATACCTGACTACTGGAAAAACCATAGCTTTGACTATATGAACCTTTGTCAGCAAAGTAATGTCTCTGCTTTTTAATATGCTGTCTAGGTTTGCTATAGCTTTTCTTCTAAGGAGCAAGCATCTTTTAATTTCATGGCTGCAGTCATCTGAAGTTTTGGATTTTGGAGCCCAAGAAAATAAAATTTGTCACTGCTTCTACTTTTTCCCCTTCTACTTGCCATGAAATGATGGGACCAGATGCCATGATATTAGTTTTTTATATGTTGAGTTTTAAGCCAGCTTTTTCACTCTCCTCTATTACCCTTATCAAGAGGCTCTTCAGTTCCTCATCACTTTCTGCCATTAGAGTGGTATCATCTACATATTTAAGGCTGTTGATATTTCTCCTAGCAATCTTGATTCCAGCTTGTGATTCATCCAGCCCAGGATTACTCTGCCTAAAAGTTAAATAAGCAGGGTAACAGTGTACAGCCTTGATGTACTCCTTTCCCAATTTTTAACCAGTCCATTGTTCCATGTCCACTTTTAACTGTTTCTTCTTGACCTGCATACAGGTTTCTCAGGAGGCATGTAAGGTGGTCTGGTATTTCCATCTCTTTAAGAATTTTCCACAGTTAGTTGTAATCCACATAGTAAAAGGCATAAGTGTAGTCAATGAAGCAGAAGTAGATGTTTTTTTGGAATTCCCTTGCTTTCTCTATGATCCAGTGGTAAGTCGCCTCAGTCACGTCCAACTCTTTGCAGTCCTATGGACTATAGCCCTTCAGGCTCATCTGTCCACGGGATTCTTCAGGCAAGAATACTGGAGTGGGTTGCCATGCCCTCCCTCAGGGGATCTTCCCGACACAGGGATCAAACCCTTGTCTCTTATGTCTCCTGCATTGGCAAGCAGGTTCTTCACCTAGCGCCACCTGGGAATCCCTATTATCCAATGAATGCTGGCAATTTGATCACTGGTTCCTCTGCCTTTTCTAAACCCAGCTTGTATATGTACATACAGAAATATCCATAGGCATTTGAGAAAGATAGACCACTCATAGTGGCTGCCTAGCTGCCTCAAGGCAGGCTAGATTTCTGTACTGTACTCTCGTATGGTGTGAGCTCTTCTCTGTTCTCATGTATTACTTTTTCAGTAAATATAAACAATTGTGCTAAGAACATTTTAAAACTATGAAGTCATATCCTATGGGCAGTTCTAGAAATCTGCTGGGCCTTTGGCAGAGCTGTTTCCTCCTGGCCGGGGAGATGGCTTTCTTGCTTCAGGGTCATCTGTCCTTGAACCTGGGCTGTTCGCTGCTCCCCTAGGCAACCTGCTGGCTCTCTGGGCCTGGTAGACTGCCCTACCCAGAGGTCTCTGCCAGATTCCTTTTTTTTTTTTTTTTTTGCCAGATTCCTTTAGAAAGATGAGAGATGGACTTTTTTCTTTTAAACTTAACATGAGACTCAGTTTTACCTTCACAGAGAGCAACAGAAAAATCAGTGTTCTCTAGATAAATAGAACTGTTTCCACAGGCTGTAGCTCAGCCAAGTTACTTTCAAGGCCATATTCATGTAGGAGTCCACCCGCTTTTGGAAAATCAAAACCAAGCCATCAATGAGTGCCTTTGTCACCTTGCACCTAAGCAGCTGACACGGTAACACAGGGTCTTTGAAAGAGCCAGATATAGCCAGAGCCAGATCATCATGCATGGAAATATACCAGTTTTAAAAGAAGTGCCATTTTTGTTTTTTTCATGAAGCCTACATAGCTGTTTTTCATAATGAAAGCACACACACATACAATGCTTTATTTTTAAAAGGAGATGAAGTGAGGTAGAGCTGCTTTGGGAGAGCTTCAGACCCAAGATTCGGGGAGCTTAATTGGTCAAAATCCAGACAGAAACTGTGTTTCTAGCGTGAACATGGCAGATCAATTGTGAGAGTGATGTTAGAAGGCAACAGGGGATGTTAAGCAGCATGATTGCAATGATAGTTACCTGAAAGAAAAGCATCCAGAGTTTGAAACTGTGTAAATGATTTTTCCCCTTCAAGCCTTTAATGTCTCTACTATCCAATAGACATAAAGAGAATGTTGTTTTTATTTAGTTGCTCAATTGTATCCAACTCTTGCAACCCCATGGACTATAGCCAGCCAGGCTCCTCTGTCCATGGGATTTCTCAGGCAAAAATACTAGAGTAGGTTGCCATTTTCTTTTCCAGGGGATCTTCCTGACCCACGGATTGAACCCATGTCTCCTGCTTATCAGGCAGATTCTCTTCTGTTGACCTACCTGGATACCTCCTCCATAGACTGATGAGAAGAGTATATTCGCAGACTCCAGGTGAAGTGACCGGCAGAGAGTGAGACTTATGTTGCCCTGGTTGTCGGAGTGCCTACCAAGTCAGTGTGATTCGCTTTAGCCACCATGGCCTGCCTAGGTCAGCTTGATTACCTGGGTGTTCCACATGAGGAAGGGGAGGCTCCGAGAGGCGTCCAAGACCACACAGCCAGCTGCTGGAGCAGGGACCTGAATTTAGTCTTCCTCCCTTCAACCCTATGCTCTTTCCAGAAGATCTGCTTTTGTCCAGTCCTGTCCTGCTGTGTCTGGGCCCCAGCTCAGGCCTCTCTGTGTTTTCCTCACCAACTGTGTCCTAAACATCAAACTGCCTTTGGAGATAAATTCGGTGACAGCATTCCACAGAAGAGAAAATGGACACCCTAAGGGGTTATTTGACCAAGCTCACCCTACAGGCTAGCAACCCACTAAGACCAAAGTTCTTTGTCTTCTGGCCTTTTCCATTGCAACGTAACATGTCACACTCTTACAAAGACTGAGTCATTGCTGCGTGAGCTGGAGGAGGGTTTGAGGAAGAAAAGTTTTACCCATGAGTGTGCTGGTCACCTCAGTGAAACTAAAGCTTCTGAAATGATCGGATGATGAGCATCCCTTTTAGGCTGGAGCTTAGTGAGAAAATGTCCTTTTCAGTTCAATCTTTAAAAAAAAAAAAAAACCTTTTATTTTATATTGAAGTATAGCCAATTAACAATGTTGTGATAGTTTCAACTGGACAGCAAAGGGCCTCAGCTATACATATAAATGTGTCTTCTCCCCCATCTTCAGTTCAATCTTGAAGATAAGGATCCTCAAGACTGAAGAACCAGATAAGTTAGATAGGGCCTGATATTTCTCTAGGCCTTCTGGAGTTGGAGATGACCTCTGACCACAGGGCTCAGCTCAGAGAGCTAAATATTAAAGCAGCCCAGAAAATTGAAATTAATTGAAGTTGGTGGAGTCTGAAAGCTAGAGTGGTCTCTACCCTAGTTTCGAAAATTCTAAATTTCTGGAAGAAACAAAACCAACTCATATGTGAATTCGATGAAAACTCAGTAGTAACATCTCAACTATGCCAATACAGCAAGCTGTACTTAAAAAGAAAAAAATGTCCGCAAACAGTTTTCTGACAGCAGCACATGATGTTAGCCTTGCAGAGTTAGTCCTCCAAAATGAAAACATGAAACTGTATGGGCAAAATAGTCGTTTGAAACTGGACAGCGGCAGATTATAAAGGTCATTTTGGATACAGCTCAGCAGACATTGTTGATTCCAAGGTTGAAATCTTTTCTGGTGTGTATATGAAGCTCACAGCCAGGGTGTTAATTCTGAATACCTAGAGTTTGAATTAAGGTTAAATAAGGTCTGTCATGGAGAAGGCAATGGCAACCCACTCCAGTACTCTTGCCTGGAAAATCCCATGGACAGAGGAGCCTGGTGGGCTGCAGTCCATGGGGTCGCTAAGAGTCAGACACGACTGAACGACTTCACTTTCATTTTTCACTTTCATGCATTGGAGAAGGAAATGGCAACCCACTCCAGTATTACTGCCTGGAGATACTCAGGGACAGGGGAGCCTGGTAGGCTGCCCTCTATGGGGTTGCACAGAGTCGGACACGACTGAAGTGACTTAGCAGCAGCAGCAAAGTCTGACACACACACACACACACACACACACACACACACACTGTCCTTTATTTTGGATGGGGTTAGTGTTGGCTGGACCCACTCCAGTGTTCTTGCCTGGAGAATCCCAGGGACGGGGGAGCCTGGTGGTCTGCCGTCTATGTGGTCGCACAGAGTCGGACACGACTGAAGTGACTTAGCAGCATCAGCAGTGTTGGCTGGGGGGAATCAGGCCTCTTAGCAGAAATGATATACCATTTCAGACAGCCTGGAAGGTTTTGTGAGACAATTACTGGACTAAAGCTCAATTCAGCACATAGCTACGCTGCTTACTTATTCTATGTGGCCTCAGCTAAAGACATATTACAGGTTCTATAGGCCATTTGAGTGCCAGGTCTGTTTATCCTGCTTCATCTTTGCATCCCCACATATTTCATTACAGCTTCTCTAAAGTGTTTATGTCCCATCTTTAAAATGTAGCAATAGTAGGAGGCCAGAGGTCACACAGTGAAATGCCAAGGGAGACCTAATAGAAACAAAAGAGAGGAGGCAGCCAGGGGTACACAAGAGGGACTCAGGGGGACTGTGGCAAACTAGGGAACTCAGGCCAGGTTGCAAGGAGGCAGCTGATACTCAGCTCCAATCAAATTTACCCTGTGGGATGGGGGTGGGGGGACTGTGCATTTTTGAATGACCTGCCACCTTTTCAAAAGGATCTGAGAATCTAGACATTTATTGGAAATAAAGAATTGAAAAACTTTCATAGCTAAACATATATATCTATTGACTGGAAATGACCTCCCGGCTATCAATGTGTACATCTAGATTAGATTTTGAGATTCTTTACAGCTTAAGTCTACAGTTCTGCTGAGTGAATCGTTAAGCAGGTTGCTTGATCTTTCTGGAGTTCTTTCCTCATCTATGGAATAAGAATATTTTTCCTCTTCTGTCAGTCCCACCAGGTTGTTGTGAAACTCCAGTGAGATATTAAAACACCTTGCAAATTACAGGGCTTGAGCAATCATGAGGAATTACCATAATTTCAAAGGCGACAACGCAACCCAGAAGAGATAAATACCTAAGTGGTAGAGAAACTTCAGCAGGGCCTATAGTGCCTTACATTATATTTCATTAAACATTTATTCATACTGAACAGGCCAGAGAGAGACCTACCCTTCCGTCCGGAGTCCTGGGACCAGCGTAGGGTGGAGCCTCACCCATCAGGACTGGCCACACATCAAAAAATTCCTAGGATTGAGAAAAACAATAATTATGTGTCTTGAAAGCAGATTGAAAAAGGAGATTAAGAAAAGAAGACTCACCTGGATGACTCATCTATCACTGAAATTTGGAAGATGGGAAGAACTCAGTGGAACCTAAGCTTGGCAGGGCTGCAAGATTCTCTAGACTTGGAAAAAGTCAATTATGTCTGTGCTTCAAAATATATCAGTATCATCAGAACTGGATCTGTTTAATCAATAACCAAGAACTGGGAGCTAAGCAAGAGCAACCGCATACTTCCTCTGCTGTGGGACATGAGAAGGAAAAAGAGGACTCAATGGCCAAGAAATTTACCTTACATACCTGCTAAACATGTGATCAAATGTTTAGCTAGAACAATGTTTCTTGCAGTATCATTTATAGCAGTGAAAAATTAGAAAAAACCTACAATGGCACAGTGGTAAAGAATCTGCCTACAATGCAGGAGACATGGGTTTGATCCCTAGGTCAGGAAGAGTCCCATGGAATAGGAAATGGCAACCCACTCCAGTATTCTTGCCTGGAGAGCCCCATGGACAGAGGAGCCTGGACAGAGGTCTACAGTCTATGGGTTCACAAAGAGTTGGATATGACTTAGTGACTGAGCAGGAAGGATCCAAAAGGAGGAGACTTATTAAATCAATTATGGTACATCTAGTAACAAGCATATTACAGATGTGTATGTATTGATTAAAGAGATGTCCATGATACGTCAATGAGTAAAAAATGTGAAGTGATAAAGATACATAGATCATGTGACCCCAATGGTTTAACTCTATATAGAAAATGCTCTCAAAGAATTCACAACAAAGCATTAACAATTGATTTTCTCAGGGGGATTGGAATGAGATTATTTAGCAATTCTTCCTTAATAAAATGTATGGCTTTCATAATAAAAATTTTTTTTCCCAAATAAGGGAGGAGAAGCAATGGTGCCAAATGTGGACAGATAGACCTTTATCTGAGCTCCAACAGGAAAGGATGACACCTGTAAGATAACTGGCAAAGACAGGGGCAGAGAGAGGAGAGAAAAGGGTCAGCAAAGGCTCTGCATGGTCATGCAGCCCCAGGAGAAGAAAGTGACTAGGATGCCACACAGGCTTCCTTGCTGCTTCTCCACTCGTTTGTCTACAGCGCATGCTGCTGCACACTTGGGTTGGGCCAAATCCGGGCCTGAGGAGGAGGCCTCTGTCCTCCAGTGCCTCTCTGTTCACTGATCTGCTGTGTTTAGAGACAGTGATCCACTCGCTCTGGGTTATCATGGGCAGGATGTCAAGCCCCTCTGCTTCTTGACCTCTCTCTCTCTGTCATTGAACATATTTGCTGTGGTGGTTTGTCTGCTCTTGCATCATCCAGAGGGCAAGCAGATGGGAAGTGATGATCACATGACATTCGCATTTCATGTCCTCACCCTTCTGCCCTGTTGAACTCTTCCTCTTGACTATTGACAACAGGAAGCAATTCAGTTCTGGGAGAAAATGAGAACTGGGGACCTACCTAAGCTCCACAACATGCTTCGTGCTGGCTAGAGACAAGGTACAGTTCATGCCCAGAGGAATCTACTATCTCATGGAGGAGACAACTAAGCCCTTGAGTGACTTTAGTAAGGTAGCCAGGGTAAGAATCAAAACAGTAATAAAAAGAGAACACAAATGTTAGAGGAGACCAGAAGAAGGATATCAGGCTGACACTGTCAAGGTCAAACACTGCATGGTTTTGAGGATTGTCCTGAGGAGGAGCAGATGTCAACAAAGGGTGGGCTGGAATGTGGGGCATGTTTGTGCCTGCCTTCCTCTGTCTCCATCTCTCTTATTTCTAAACAGCCTTCCTGAGATATAATTCATACACCATGTGGTTCGCCCTGTTTAAGTGTACAATTCAGTGGCCTTTATTGACATTTTTCATAATGTCAATACTTCAGTTAAGAATTTAGCTATCTGGGGTAGGGCAAGAGGGCAGGGGAGGGGGAAGTGAACTGGTTCTTAGAGTGATTATAGGCAACCCAGCCCACTTCTAATTGCTAGATTGTCCCATCTATTGGGGATGACTAAATCAGGATATTCTCACTTAAATGTGACTTTCCCTTTTGAGGGAGAGTTCAAAAGAAACAGAGGGCAGAACTTCAGCTCAAAGCTGTATTTTGATCTTTTAAGATACAAACTGAGCACCTTAAAATGGACTCTTGAATTCAACTACTCAGAAATTCTGATTTAAAAAGAACCATTCCCACTATGGAAGATGTAGGGAGATTCCTTAAAAAACTAGGAATAAAACCACCATATGACCCAACAATCCCATTCCTAGGCATATACCCTGAGGAAACCAAAATGGAAAAAGACACATGTATCCCATTGTTCATTACAGCACTATTTACAATAGCTAAAACATGGAAGCAACCTAGACATCCATCGACAAATGAATGGATAAAGAAGTGGTGGTATATATACACAATGGAATATTACTTAGCCATAAAAAGAATGCATTTGAGTCAGTTCTGATGAGATGGATGAACCTAGAACCTATTATACAGGGTGAAGTGAATTAGAAAGAGAAAGATAAATATTGTTTTCTAACACATAAATATGGAATCTAGAAAAATGGTACTGAAGAATTTATTTATTTACAGGGCAGCAATTGGAAAAACAGACATAGAGAATAGACTTATGGACATGGGGAGAGGGGAGGAGAGGGTGAGATATATGGAAAGAGTAACATGGAAGCTTACATTACCATATGTAAAATAGATAACCAACTGGAATTTGCTGTATGGCTCAGGAAACTCAAACAGGGGCTCTGTATCAATCTAGGGGGGTGGGATGGGACAGGAGATGGGAGGGAGGCTCAAAAGGGAGGGAATATATGTGTACCTATGGCTGATTTGACAGAAAACAACAAAATTCTGTAAAGCAATTATCCTTCAATGAAAGATAAATTAATAATAATAAAAAAGAATCATTCATTTATATGAATTCATTTAGTGCTTTCTGAAGGAGTATCAGAGTGTTATTGCTGGATTTAGCCATGTTTGGCAAAATATTTGTTTCAGGAATTTACCAAAATCAAATGGATGGCTGCACTAAAACCAGAAGTTCCCTGAAATCAGTATATGACTCAACTGCACCAGAGTCACTTAGGGAGATATTTTAAAGTAAAAAATCAGAATAATAAACCCGTGAATATATGAAAATCTGGTATATTGTAAAATGGCCTATCAAAATGGTGGCATTTCAAAACAGTAGAGAAAGGGTAGACTATTATTTAAATGGGCAATTATGAGGGGTTCACAAAATTTATCCCTATCTAATAACACACTAATAATTTCAAGATGAGTAAAAGATGAAAATATATTAATCAAAACACATCAGGTTATTTCAGACTATAATATTAAGGCTGAGGAAGTCTTTCTTAAACAAAATTCAAAACACAGAAGTCATAAAATTTAAATCTCTGTATGATGAAAGATGCCATAGACAAAGTTAAAATATAATCCATAGAAAGGGAAAATATTGGTTGCAGCTAGGTAACAGATATATAGTCTATATAATATAAAGCACTCTTATATTTTAATAAGAAATAGACAAAGAATTCAATTTTAACAGTGGAAAATGGGCAATATATTGCACAGAAAAACTTGGGTAATATATGTAAAAAGAAAAGTTAAATTACAAATATATATAAAATGTATTTACCTTTCTATGATAATCAGTGAAAAAACAATTAGAAAAAAGAATGACAACATTTTTTGCCCATTTACGTAGGAAAAATAAAAAAGATTTAGATACACAGAATTGGGGGCCGGAGTTTGGAGAAAGGGAACCCTCATGCAGTGCAAGAAGGAGTATAAAATGAGTTAGCCTTTAGAGGGAAAATTTGGAGAAAGTGAAATAAAAATTATTTCTTAGTAATCTACTTCCATACCTTTGTCCTATAGATAGTCTCTGTCTAGTGCACAGGACTTTAACTCCAAGGTTGTCCACTACAGCATTGCCTTTAATTGCAAGACTCTCTAGAAAAGATTTAAATGCCCAGAAATAGGGGAAAGGATAAATTAATTATGGTATACCTGTACTATTTTAAAAAATGAGGTAAATCTATGTGGACTAAAGAACAAAGAAAGAGGATTTCTACTACTATCAATGGTAGCCAGTCTGTTTCACACCAATCCTCCAACTGAGAATTATCATGAAATCTGGACTGTGTATATGTATGTGTGTATGTGTATATAAACATTTATGTGAAGGAATCATAGTGCTAGTAAGGCAGCAATAGTTTGATGGGCCAAGATCTCATAGACAAGGGAAGCCCAGAGATATGAGCCTGATGTCTGATTCAGCTTTTCCTCTTACTGATACCAAAGATGTTGTGGAGCAACTGGAAAGGTGTGCAAAGCTTTCAGTAGACCTACATGACTTATAGGACTAGGTTGAAATTCAGGGCCTGTCAAAAAGGAGGGATCCTTGAAAACAACCCAGGTTTTTAGCTGGTCCTTCCTAAAGATTTATGCTCTAGGAGTAAAAGTGAATCAGAAACAGAATAACCCTCAGAAAAACTGAAGAAGCTTCAAATTGGCTCCATCCTTGATTGGATTCAGGTACTCTGCCTTTGTCTCAACTTATAACCAGAAGTAACATAAATCCCCTTTGGAGGAATATAACATTGCCAAGAGTTTCAAATCATCTCTAAAACATTTTATACAGATTTCTAGTGTTCAAACAAAAATAAATGGGCATGTACAAGATAAGGATTAACTGAAAAATCAAGAAATAAAGCAGATTATAGAAAGAGGAACCATAGAATATATATGTGTACCAAAAAATATGTACTAGAGTGTTCATGATAGCAACATTCATGAAAGTCCAAACTGGAAAATTCAAATGTCTATTGATGGTAGAATAAATAAATACTTTGTGGATTACTCATATAATGGAATATTCTACAAGAATGAAAATTAATGAACTAATTAATGAAAATTGATGACTATGATGAGCAATAAGATTGAATCTTACAACCCAAATGTTGATCAAAAGAAGTCAGACACAAAAGAGTATAATTCCATTTATATGAATTTCAAAATTAGGAAAAACTAACATGGCTTTAAAGGTCAGAGAGTGGTTACATTTTGGGAAGAAGGAATGGGAGTTACTGGAGAGATGTAAGAAAGGGACTTCTGAGGGGCCAGTCATGTTCTATTTCCTAATCTTGATGGTAGTTATGTAGGATGTTCACTTTGCGGTAATTCACTGAACCATTTTCCTGTAATAGTGCTTTTCTCTGTGTGTTTGTTATATGTACGTATATTATTTAAAAATCTGCATGTACCACTATGGAATTATGTTTGTAGAGCATTATGTAAAAAAGACAGATTATTGTGTTGCCCAGAAATTTATTTTATTTTTTAAATTGGATTATCTTTTTATTGTTGAGTAGTAAGAGATTTTTGTTTTCCCCTTCATGAGCAAACATCAAACTTAAAAAAAGATGGAAGTATAGTTGATTTACAATATTGTGTTAGTTTCAGCTGTACAGCAAAGTGATTATTATATATATATATATTTCCATTATTTTTTAAACTAACAAATGCATCATAACTATTTATTTATTTATTTACATTTATTTATTTATTTGACTGCACCTGGTCTTCATTGCAGTGCACAGGATCTTCGATCTTTTGCTGTGGTATGCAAACTTTTATTTTTATTTATTTTTTTCATTTATTTTTATTAGTTGGAGGCTAATTACTTTACAATATTGTAGTGGGTTTTGTCATACATTGACATGAATCAGCCATGGAGTTACATATTCCCCATCCTGATCCCCCCTCCCACCTGCCTCTCTACCTGATCCCTCTGGGTCTTCCCAGTGCACCAGGCCCGAGCACTTGTCTCATGCATCCAACCTGGGCTGGTGATTATGCAAACTTTTAGTTGCAGTACATGGGATCTAGTTCCCAACCAAAGATCAAACCTGGGCCCCTGCATTGGGACCGCAGAGTCTTAGCCAGTGGACCACCTTCCATTGTAGGTTATTACAAGATACTGAGTATAGTTCCCTGTGCTATACAATAAATTCTTGTTGCTTGTCTATTTTATATATAACTTTGTATCTGTTAGTCCTATACTTCTAATTTTAAGAACTCTTTTTATATTTTACACACTTGTCTTTTCAAAAGCTTTCTTCATTACTGTCCTTTCAAGCACAAAAGTTTTAAATTTTTATGAAGTCCAATTTATCTGTTTTTCCTTTGTTACTTGTGATTTTGATGTCATATCCAAGAAACCATTGCCTTATCCAGGGCCACAGATATTTACATCTATATTTTCTTTTTTTAAATTTACTTATTTTTTAATTGAAGGATAATTGCTTTACAGAATTTTGTTGTTTTCTGTTAAGCATCAACATGAACCAGTCATAGATATACCTATGTCCCCACACTCGTGAACCCCCTTCCGATCTCCCTCCCCATCCCACCCCTCTAGGTTGACACAGAGCCCCTGTTTGAGTTCCCTGAGACATACAGCAGATTCCTACTGGCTATATATTTTACATATGGTAATGTAAGTGTCCATGTTACTCTCTCCATACATCTCACCCTCTCTTCTCCACCCACCACCCTGTGTCCTCTCCATTGCTGCCCTGCAGATAAATTCGTATGTACCATATTTTTAGATTCCTTGTTTGTTTGTTTGGCTGCATCACATGGCTTGCAGGCTCTTAGTTCCCCGACCAGGGATTGAACCTAGGCCCTGGGCAATGAAAGCTCCAAGTCCCACCCAATGGACTACCAGGGATGGACAATATTACAATAGTACACAATATTTATCTTTCTTTTTCTGACATACTTCACTCTGTATAATAGACTCTAAGTTTGTCCACCTCATTAGAACTGACTCAAATGCATTCCTTTTAACAGCTGAGTAATATTCCATTATATATACATGTACCACAGCTTCTTTATCCATTCATCTGTCAGTGGACATCCAGGTTGCTTACATGTTCTAGCTATTGTAAATAGTGTTGCAATGAACCTTGGGGTACATATATCTTTTTCAATTTTGGTTTCCTCAGGGTACATGCCTAGGAATGGGATTGCTGGGTCATACGGTGGTTTTATTTATAGTTTTTTAAGGAATCTTCATACCATCTTCCATAGTGGTTGTATCAATATTCCCACCAACAGTGCAAGAAGCTTCCCTTTTCTCCACACCCTCTCCAGCATTTAGTGTTTGTGGACCTCTTGATGGCCATTCTGATCAGTGTGAGATGGTATCTCATTGGAGTTTTGATTTGCATTTCTATAATAATGAGTGATGTTGAGCATCTTTTCGTGTGTTTGTTAGTCATCTGTATGTCTTCTTTGGAGACATGTCTGTTTAGGTTTTTTTTCCAACTTTTTGATTGGGTTGTTTGTTTTTCTGGTATTGACTTCTATGAGCAGCTTGTATATTTTGGAAATTAATCCTTTGTCTGTTGTTTCATTTGCTATAATTTTCTCCCATTCTGAGGGTTGTCTCTTTACCTTATTTATAGTTTCCTCTGCTATGCAAAAGCTTTTAAAAGTTTAATTAGGTACCACTTGTTTTACATCTATATTTTCTTTTAAGAGTTTTTATAGTTTAAGGTCTGTGGTCCATTTTGAGTTAATTTTTGTATATGATGTGAAATAGGGCCCCAAATTCATTCTTTTGCATGTGGCTATCCAGTTGTTCCAGCACCATGTAGTAAAAGGACTATTCTTTTGCCTTCGAATGGTCTTGGCACCCTAGTTGAAAATCAATTGACCATGGTTTTTATATGTGACCACAATTTTTTATATGTGGTTTGCTAGTATTTTGTTGAAGATAATTTGCCTCTGTATTCAGATAATATATTGATCGGTAGGATTTCTTCTTGTGATATGTTTGGTATCAGGGTAATACTGGCCTCACAGAATGAGTAGGGAAATGTTTCATCCTCTTCTATTTTTGTAAGAGTTTGTGAAGTATTTGTATTATTTTTTCTTTAAACACTTGGTGGAATTTATCAGTGAAAATATCTGACTGTGGGCTTTTCTTTGTAGGAAGTTTTTCTTTTTTTAATTACCAACTCTATCTCTTTATTTGTTATAGATCTAGTCAGATTTTCTATTTACTCTTTTTAATTTAATTTTTATTTTATTTTATTTTTTCTTTTTCTTTTTCTTTTCTACAATAATTATTACTTTGGCTGTACCATGCAGCATGTGGGCTCTTAGTTCCCTGACCAGGGATCAAACACATGCCCCCTGTAGTGGAAGCACAGTGTCTTAACCACTGGACCACCATGGAAGTCCTAAATTTTATTTCCTAATGGAGTATAGTTGATTTACAATGCTATGATATTTTCAGGTGTACAGCTAAGTGATTCAGTTATATAAATACATTATCCATTCTTTTTTTAGATTCTTTCCCCTGAGTAGATTCCCCTGTGCTATACAGTAGGTCCTTGATTATTTCATATATTTATTAGTGTGTATAAGTTAATCCCAAACTCCTAATTTATCCCTCCCCTTCATATTTCCCCTCAAGTAACCATAAATTTGTTTTCAAAATCTGTGAGTCTGTTTCTGTTTTGTGTATAAGTTTATCATTTTTTGTAGATTCCACATAAAAGTGATATCATAAGATATTTGCCTTTGTCTGTCTGAGTTACTTCCCTCAGTATGATAATCTTTAGGTCCCTCCATGTTGTTGCATATGGCATTTTTGCATTCTTTTTCTGGCTGAGTAATATTCCATTATATATATAGGGTTGGCCAAAAAGTTCATTTGAGTTTTTCCATAACATCTTCTTTCCATGTCTTGGCTATTGTGAATAGTGCTGCTATGAACATAGGGATACATGTATCTTTTTGAATTACAGTTTTGTCTGGATATATATCCAGGGATGAGATTACTGGATCATATCGTAATTCTATTTTTAGTTTTCTGAGGAACCTCTATACTATTCTCCATAGTGACTGTACCACTTTACATTCCCACCAACAGAGTAGGAGGTAGAAAATGTTCCCTTTTCTCCATACCCTCTCCAGCATTTATTATTTGAAGACTTTTTGATGACTAGCTCAGCAATTTTGAAACTGTTCCTCGGAAGATTCTAATTTACTGTCACTTTTGGGAGCCTCTGGACTAGACCTAAGGTCTTTTCCAACCCCAGATTCTGTAATTCATTTATTCATTCAACCAAATATTTGGAGGGTCTCCACTGGGCTGTGTACCGCATGCAATGTGACAAAGGGCACAGAAGGAAACCGACAGTTTAGTCTTAGGATTTTGGTAGAGGAAGTGTATCTAGATAATTCTGGAACTCTGTGCCAAGGCATAAAATGATTAGCTGCAAAGACAGGCAGAGAAAGAAAAACGGGAGTGTCAGTTTGGTGAAAACTAGCTGAAGAACCTGACTGGAGGCCATTGAGTCTCTCTGCCTCCTTAGCCAACATGGCCTCAGAGCATTCTGAGGGACCAGATCTAAGTATGTACCTCCACTTTCACGGCCTGGATGTGGAGCTCTGGTCTCCACACACCATAGGAAAGGTTTCTGCCCACCTTTGAGTGTAGTTTCTGACAGTTTCTGAAGTTGGCAGCTTTCTTCTTGCTGCTCTTTCACCCTACATGGAAACTTCTTTATCACTCACCTTACCACCTCATCATGCCTTCTTCTCACATGCTCATTTTTTCCCTATGGACTGGGGAAGATAGAGGTTATTTTTCCTCCCCTGTGCCCTGGAATGACTTTTCCTCTGTAAAGGCTGGTACTCCTCTCCTCAGTGTAAAAGACCTATGAAAAACCTTTCATAACCATCCACCTCCTGCCAGCTATTTCCCTGTGCAATCGAATTCATGACACAAGGCTGGGTTCCACCTGGTATATAGCTGGTATATATTTAACCTGTTCTTGGAAATGTCTGCTCTTAAGCGTTCTCACCTTCTGCTTGGTCATGTCTAAGAGCCCCACGGAGTATCTGTCACAGTTGAGGAAGGCGCGGACTGTATATAGGGCTTTGTGGAACTGCCTCTCAATGTCTGTAAGCTCTTCAAAGACTTTGCTACCAGACCACAACAGTATCTGAAGAAATACAAAAACATAGTTAGTGTTCCTGAGGCACAGAACAGCAGCTCACAATAACCAAGAATAACTGTCCCTGTTTTGTAGATGGAGAAACTGAGGTTCAGAGAGGTGAATAATGGTGCAGCTTCTGTTGGGTCCAACTCTGTCCAATTCTTTTATCTCCTAGGTTGTTAATAACAATGATGATAACAAACATTGACAGAGCCTAAGTACCCTACATACTTTATCCCATATCCCATAATTATCCCCATTTTTCAAAAGAGGAGGCTGAAGCTTGGAGAGGTTAAGTGATTCTCTCAAGGTCTTAGAACTGGTAAATGGATTAGCAAGGATTCAAATACAAGCTGGCTGACATGAAAGCATGTACGTGCAGTCACCCTGGGTTACAACTTTACAGACATCCATGACTCATGCACCCCAGGGATGCTGGGAGAGACTGTACGACACTTCCCAGGCACTTCTGTTATTACTGCCTTCTAGTTGAGCACATAATTGCTTAAGGAAGAGGACACCTTCAGTCCAGTTCATTCCCTCAAGTCAAGCCCTTTACCTGGCCACGTCGAGTCTCACAGTTGTGCAGGTAACTCAGGTGGAACACCTTCATGATTAGATTTGCAAAATTGAGGTACTTGAGAAGAATCTGAAAATCAAACAGCATGAGGAGAAACAGGAAGAAGAAATTCCTCTTCTGGCCACTTCTACCATCAGCCACTAAGTTTGAACATTTTCAAAGCTTCATCTGAGACAGTTTGAGCAGATGGATCATGGAAAGCTGACTCATAAAATGTTGCATTATGTGAAGGTAAAACTCACAGAATGTAGAATGTCAATGTTAATAGAAGTGTATTCACGAGAAGTTGCTACTGTTCATTGAGTTTGCAGGCCCCGTGATAAGTCATATATGTATGTTATCTTGATGGCCACAAATGACCTCAAGAGATATTATAGATACTCTCTATAAAAGATACTATAAAATCATCCCCATTTTACAGATAAGAAATCTGAGGTTCAGAAAAACGTGCCTAAGTCAAACAGATGTTAGCAGAACCAGAACCATTATCCCTACATTCTTCTCCAGAGCCCAACATCTTAATGACTATCCTGTCCTGCCTCCCCCACAGATCATCAGACCACTAACTTCCTTGTCTTACAGAGGGGAAAGCCAAGGTCAGGACAATAGCAAGGATCAGAGGATTTGTGAGCTGGGAGAATGTGCTGGCATGGCCCGCCCAACAGTTTCTAAGCACTCTTACCTCTTCATCATTCTCGGTGAAGTGAGGCCCATCCACTTTATTCACAGCCATGATTATGGCCACCACGTCCTTCCCATTCATTATGGGAGAAGCCAAGATGTTCTTAGTCTGGTACTCTGTGAGGGTGTCCACGAAGTCACAGAAGTGCTCATCCTGAAGGAAGACAAAGACAAGCGTGAGTGGGTAGAGGAAGAGCAAAGACAGGAAAGCAACCCAGAGCCCCAGGTGCCCATGGTTACCGTTGTTATTCAGTCGCTCAGTCATGTCTGACTCTTTGCAACCCCATGGACACAGCACACCACGCAACCCTGACCTTCACTGTCTTCTGGAGCTTGCTCAAATTCATGTCCATTGAGTCAGTGATGCCATCCAACCATCTTGTCTCTGTTGTGCTCTTCTCCTCCTCCCTTCAATCTTTCCCAGCATCAGGGTCTTTTCTAATGAGTTGGCTCTTCACATCAGGTGGCCAAAATATTGGAGTTTCAGCTTCAGCATCAGTCCTTCCAATAAATATTCAGGGTTGATTTCCTTTAGGATTGACTGGTTTGATCTCCTTGTAGTCCAAGGGACTCTAAAGAGTCTTCTCCAACACCACAGTTCAAAAGCATCAATTCTTCGGCACTCAGCCTTCCTCATGGTCCAACTCTCACATCCATACATGACTACTGGAAAAACCATAGCTTTGACTAGATGGACCTTTGTCAGCAAAGTAATGTCTCTGCTTTTTATTTATTTATTTATTTTTAAATATGGAACGCTTCACGAATTTGCATGTCATCCTTGTGCAGGGGCCATGCTAATCTTCTCTGTATCATTCCAATTTTAGTATATGTGCTGCCGAAGCGAGCACATGTCTCTGCTTTTTAATATGCTATCCAGGTTGGTCACAGCTTTTCTTCCAAGGAGCAAGCATCTTTTAATCTCATGGCTACAGTCTCCATTTGCAGTGATTTTTGAGCCCAAGAAAATAAAATTTCACTGTTTCCATTGTTTCCTCATCTATTTGCCATGACGTGATGGGACCAGATGCCATGATCTTCATTTTTTTTTTTCTTTTCATTTATTTTTATTAGTTGGAGGCTAATTACTTTACATCATTGCAGTGGGTTTTGTCATACATTGAAATGAATTAGCCATGGATTTACATGTATTCCCCATCCCGGTCCCCCCTCCCACCTCCCATGATCTTCATTTTTTGAATGTTGAGTTTTAAGCCACCTTTTTCACTCTCCTCTTTCACTTTCATCAAGAGACTCTTTAGTTTCTCTTTGCTTTCTGCCATTAGGGTGGTGTCATCTGCATATCTGAGTTTATTGATATTTCTCCTGGCAATCTTGATTACAGCCTGTGCTTCATCCAGCCCAGGCTTTCTCATGATGTACTCTGCATAGAAGTTGAATAAGCAGGGCAACAACATACAGCCTTGATGTACTCCTTTCCCAATTTGGAACCAGTCTGTTGTTCCATGTCCAGTTCTAACTGTTGCTTTTTGACCTGCATACACATTCCCCGGGAGACAGGTAAGGTGGTCTTGTATTCCCATCTCTTTAAGAATTTTCCACAGTTTGTTGTAGAGTTGGGGTAAAGAGGCTCCCCATTCTCTTGTTGACAAAAGAATGAAACCAGTTCCATCTACTCCCCTTCATCAGGGACAAGGCAATTAGAGATGGTTTCTGGCCTGGAAGCCTCCAAAATCCAGTAGAAGAAAGTCTGAAATACACTAAGGGTTATGGAGATGTGAGCAAAGCATTGGAGGGACCCAACTGTGGAGGTGGAGGGTTGGCTTTGTCTGTGGAGGAAGATTTTGAGAAGGCTCTCTTCCATTGATGACAGTTAAGCATAAAACAGAAACGAGTGAGGAAAAGACCTTAGTGAATATAACCATTGCAGTTGCTAGCAGGTATTGTGTGTGGCACTCACTGTATTCTTCCCAATGACCCAAGAGATGGGACCATTAGTAGTTCATCTTATGAAGGGGGAAACTGAAACTCAAGATTAACATTACTTATTACTTGTGTGTGTATGTGACTCGAGAAACTGCTCTCAGCTCTGCTGTTTCATCCAGGGAAGCTTCATTTCAGGGAAGCCTGGATAAGGGTAGACCTGGGTCTGGGTCATTGAACCAAAGAATTTGTTACTTCCAGCTTTTATTTATTTATTTATTGGCTGCATTTGGCCTTTGTTGCTGCATGCGGGCTTTCTCTAGTTGTGGCGCTGGGGGTTACTCTTCATTGCGGTTCATGGGCTTCTCACTGTGGTGGTTTCTCTTGTGAAGCACAGGCTGTAGGCATTCAGGCTTCAGTAGTTGCAGCACACGGTCTCAGTAATTGTGGTTCGTGAATTTTAGAGCCTGGGCTCAGTAGCTCTGGCTCATAGGCTTAATTGCTCTGAGACATGTGGAATCTTCCCGGACCAGGACTGAACCTGTACCCCCTGCACTGGCAGGCAGGTTCTTATCCACTGTACCACCAGGGAAGTCCGCTTTCAACTTTGTTTGCGATCCAGTTCTAGCACCACACAGCCAGTCCAATGAATATCCCCATTCCATAAATCTTAACGGAAGCCCCACTCTGTGTCAGGCCTTATGCTAAGCACTGGGGATAGAGGGAAGACTAAAATTCAGGCCAGCACACAGATGAACCACACAGAATTAACTGAATTCACACAGAATTAACACAGATGTCCTGTGTTAATCGTAACAGGACATAAAGGTTGGCTCAAAGCAGTGGGAGTGCAGAGGAGCACACACCCCCTACACCCCACCCGGAAGGCAAACTTAGAGGCCAGTATAGGGCGGTACAGTCTGGGTGGTCAGAAAGTGGGGACAGAGGCTGAATTGTTGTCTTAAATCCAAAAGAATCCACATTTCTGTTTCCTGGTCTCACTGTGACCAACAGTCAGCGTTGCTGGGAACACAAGCCAGCTGAGATGTGTACAGTTCATGCTGTTCTGGGAAGGAAATGTATTTTGCGGAGCCAATTCATGGAGCTGTGCTAGAACTAGAACTTTCTCACACTGCACAAGTTCAGAGTGTGGTGCTCTGCATCTGTGGGTTCTTCCAGCTGGAGTGGGATTAAATAAACAGGCCCGGTTGTCGATGAAGCTGTCTCAAACCAGGTGAAGGGTAAAGGAATTAAGAGAAGCCTGTAGTGCTCAACTTGAATTAGTGTTGGAGGATTAAGCAAAATCTCTAAAGAGGTATTAACCGCAAGAGTTTTCCATGTCACTCTCTAAGGACAACTGATGAATTCCTAAATACAAGCCTGGGTGGGACATGCCCAGATTCATTGCACCAAGTCAGTTCAGTCTTTCAGTATTCACTTCTGTCAAGGAAAGCAGTACTTGGGCCTTACCTGCATCTGAGGCAAATGTTACTAAAGCCACCAGTACCTTCTCTCCCACTGAGTTCTCAGCCCTAGAACTTTCTCACAAATAGCACAGCTGCCAATTGACTGGTGTCTGTATAATCATTGGCATCCTTATATTTTCAGCATATAGAGTTCTCAACTGTGTCATAGAACCTCAATTTATCAGTGACGGAGGGGCCTTAAAGGCCACTTTGCTAAAACTATTTTATTTCTTTTTTATTTTGCTGTGTCTGGTCTTAGTTGCTGCATGAGGGATCTTTTTCTTTAGTTGTGGCATTTGAGCTCTTAATTGCAGCATGTTGGATCTAGTTCCCTGATCAAGGATTGAATCTGGGCCCCTTGCCCAGATTCAACACTTTCTTAACCATTAGACCACCAGGGAAGTCACTAACCTATCTGTTTTAAAGCCCAGGAATCAGGAGTCGAGTGGAGAAAAGCCCAAAGTTGTTCATTCATTCAGTTGGCATTAACAGAGAGCCTTTAATGTATGCTAGGTAGTTTAGGCAGTGAATAAGACAGGTGAATATCTTTCCCTAGTAAAGCTTCCACTCAAATGGTGTGGACAGACAAAAAGCAAATAAACAGCTGCTTTGAAGAAGAGAAATTGGGTGATGCTATAGAAAGTGATGGAAGCAGGGGTAGGTTGAACCTGCTCTGGTCAGTCCTGGCGGGTAGGGAGTTTTCTCTAAGAGGTAATGCAGAGAGTGAAGGCTCAAAAGAGCCGGCCAGACAGAAGTGTATTCCAAGCAGAGGGCACAGAGGATGCCAAGGAGCAGGGGGCAATGAATTGACTGATCCGAAAAACAGGAAGAAGACCTGCTTAGTGAGGGAGATTGGAGGGCAAAGAAGTCAGAGAGGTGACATGCGTGCCTATGTGCATGCTAAGCTGCTTCAGTCGTGTCTGAGTCTTTGTGACTCTATGGGCTGTAGCCAGCCAGGCTCCTCTGTTCAAGGGATTCTCCAGGCAAGAATACTGGAGTGGGTAACCATTTCCTTCTCCAGGGGATCTTCCCAACTCAGGGATCGAACCCAGGTCTCCTGCATTGAAGGAAGATTCTTTACCATCTGAGCCACCAGGGAAGCCCCTCAGAAGGGTGGGCAGAGGCCTTATGTGACAGGGCCTTGGAGGCAACTAGAAGAGCTTAGATTTTATTCCAATGTAATTCAAGACTGCTTCTCATTCCTGGAAAGCCAGTTTCTCTTTTCAAACATCCTCTGTGCCAAGCTCCAGTGTGTCCCATGATGAGATCTATTTATTGAATAACTTTCACTTTCAGTGATGTACTAGGCCCAGAGCCAGACAATTCATTAACTCTCACATCTTCCCTGTCATGTAGAACTCTCTCCTTCCCTGTTTTATAGACAATTCTCCTGCTCATAAATGGCACAGCCACTGCATTCATTCATTCATTCACTGATACACTGATTGGCTCATTGACAGACTGATTCGTTCATCCACTTGTATTTACCGAGCACTGGCTCTGTGAGAGGCACTGGGTCTGCCAAGAAAGTAAGAAAGGTGAGGTTGTCCTCAGTGGATTGTCACTGTGCAGTGGGGACATCATGTAAAGTATGAACTCACAATTCAAGCCATAATGTGAAGAAAGCCCCCAGAGGACTGATGGTATCCTGGGGCCCCAGGAGGCAGTGACTTGTTCTCTGAGTGGCTTCATGAGCCTGTCAGCAGTTGAAACCTCTCCGAGCCTCAGTTTCCTCTTTGGCAAAATCACAGTGTCAGACCAGGTCCTCTCTGAGGTTTCTTTCTGGCCTGGCATGCTGGGTTCC